ACAAAAAATATTACACGTCAAATAGCACTTTCTTATACGTAGAACTTTCAATAAAATTACTTAAAATTATTATTTAAGAGCAAAACTTTAAAATAAGAAATAGAGACATAAATAATTAAATATTTAGGTAAGTGCATCAATTACGGCGCCTTCATAAAAAATAACTATTATTACTATTATATTTAATATAACTGTTGCAAAATGATTTAAAAAAATTATTTTAATCTTTTTTTGATTCAATTACTAATGAAGATGCACATTTAAAATACACGTAATTTTGGTCACCGAAATTAATACACCGAAACTGATACAAACGCGCTGCAATAGAAAATTACGGTATTAGTTTTAATTTCTCATATTTGTTTAAATAATCGATTTTTATAAAGTTAAACATTTTTTTTAACATCTAAATAACATAACCTTTTAGTTTAATAAGTCTTAAACTGCGTTTATACAATAGAAAAATGTCGAATTTTCTATTTCAAAGGTGTTTTGACTCGAATCGCGCCGCAATTAGTGCATTTATCCTATTTATATAAAAGAAAATAATAAATCTCTTTTTTTTAAAACGTAAATAACAATATTATTTTAAATGTTTTGAAATTTCTTTTAAAGAGCTCGATAAATATAACTTATTTGTTTTTAGCTTTGGACGATGAACTGAACAAATATAATTTTCTATATTATAATATCCGTGAGCATCCATGTTTATAACGTTTATAATATTTGGTTTTTTGCTATCTTAAACCACGAACACAAACAACCTAAACCTTGTACATTTTGTTTTGGTGTAATTACAGGAGCAGATGTTTTACTGTACTCGATTTTTTTTTACTTATATTCCGGTAAGATAGCTAAAAGCTAAAATTCGGCCAATTACTAAAGAACAATTTTCTGATTTGATTCTGTAAACATTCAATGGCAAAGTTGCTATACTTCAGCATCAACTCCCGCGCTACATTTGAACAAGTGTTTAAAATTTTAACTTACCGTGGATGTCCCAGTTGCCGTCCACCTAAGACTTAGTTTCCGTCCAGTTTAATTTTCAAAATAACATTTATAAAAAAATTATTTTCTTTTATTTGTTTACTTAAACTAATAAGTCGATTGCGTGCCAAAAGGAATAAATTATTGTTAAAAAATAATTTAAATTACTATACGAGATATTTGTAAAATGGACGGAAACTGGGACATGGACGGTAACTGGTACATCCACGGTATATTAACATTTTTTGGTTTGATTTTCTTTAAATTTTTTAAGGTATTACACCATAATACCACAATATTACAAGTATTACACAGTATTACATGGTATTACACAATAATACTTATTATTACAAGACATTACAAAATATTACAGATATTACAGGTATTACCGAGTATTACACAAATATTTCTGGGTTAACAATATATGGGCAAATCCACGAAACTTTTAAGTTTCAAGAAAAAAAAATTTCTTTTTTTAATTTGCAGGCATATTGATGTCAGTTTGTATACATGTTTAAGTACATTTTAGCACTACAAAATTAATAAGCATGAAATACAAAAATGTATAAATTAATTTAAATGAAATCACAGGAATTCACAGGAATTGTATTCACAGGAATACAATTAGAGGCACATCATTGAAAAAGGTCTTAAAATTTTTGTTTTTTCATCACCTTTAAAGAAATGCTTTAAACTTTTATTTTTATCCAACGCCGTAATAGATATTTTCATAAGAAGACGTTCAATTGAATTTTTTTTAAAAAGTGCTATCACTCAATCAAACTTTCATATTTTTAGTTTTAGTGGTGGCACACTAATGATAGTGAAAATTTTTTTGACAAAATATGTCTGTTAGATATTTCCATAGTAGCTGAAGGGATATTTTACACGCCGCAAAAATAAAAACATTAAGAATATAAACTTTTTCAAGAAATTCAAATGAAATTTAAGCATTTTTTCAATTTTAAATTAATAAAACTACTTGTCAAATAAATATTTTGTTCTAATATTGTACATAAATGTTCCTTTGTATATAATTTAGCAAAAAAAAATTATACCCAACTCTCTAAATCTGAATTAGTAAAAATGTTTACTAATTTGAATTAGTGACTCACTTTTTCCTTCTGAATTAGTAAAATTTTACTAATTATTAGTAACTTTTACTAACAATTAGTAAAATTTTACTAATTCAGAAGCAAAAAGTGAGTCACTAATTCAAATTAGTACACACTAATTTAAAAGTATCAAATTGATACCAAAAATATCAAACTGATACAACTTTTTATATCAATATGATATTTTTGGTATGAATTTGATACTTCTAAATTAGTGTGTAAACATTTTTACTAATTCAGATTTAGAGAGAAAGTTTTAATTAAAAATAATTCAGATTTTTAAGTGTTCGATTCGAGAATCACAAAAGTTAAAAGTTTCGTGGATTTGCCCATATATTCTTTAGGCATTTCTTTGGTTGATTCAACCAAAATTTGGTTGTTTCAAACAAGCTCATTTATTTAACGTAAATAAAATTTTTATTTGTAATCAAAATAAAAATTTATTTACAACAAATAAATATTTATATTTTTCGAAACATATATAAAAATCTATTTGCAATAAATAAAAATTTATTTGCAACAAAGAAATATTTATTTGAAATAAAAAAATATTTATTTGTCTCATGAAACAAATAATATAATTTTTCTATTAGGTGCGATTTCTTTTTTTAACCACTTGCATCCTAGTAATTTTTTTAATTTTTTTTTTTAACGATAAATTTTTTTCCAATGTACATAATACAAATAAATTAGAATAGATACATTATTTTCAAGTTGGAAAATGACAATGCAATTTGTTTCATTCTTTTTTTTTCTATTATATTGATTTTTTAAAAGTAAACAAATTTGTATATATGAAGCACTTAAAATACTCTTGAAGTAATATTTTTACGCTCGACAATAATAAAGACGAAGAGACATATATTATTGTGGGTGTGGGGAACCGTCATTATTCAGCCTTTTTGCAGTTAGTGTATAATATAAAATGAGTCAGCATATATATTCTGTTTCCGCTTATACTAATATTTGGTTGCCTGTCTTTCATTTTCTATTCGATTTCTTTTTTTCAATATAAATTTTAAAAATTAATTTTTTTTTTAAATTTTACAATTTATTATAATATATAGATATTATATTGGTAATATATAATATAATATATTTAAATTTATTATATTATAATAATTATAATTAAGTAAAAATAGTTAATAATAAAAAACAAAAAAAAATATTTTTTTTCAAATTTAGAAAAATTGAGAAAAAAAATTAAAAAATAATTATTTTTAATTCTTGTTTTTCGATAGCTTTAAAAAATTGATTTTTTTAAGACATTTATGTTTTATTTATGAGGAAGCGAATCATATTTTATATATATAAAGATAAGGGAACACAGGAGTTATAAAAGCATAGGCGAAAGCTGTAAAACACAAGGTACTCTAAGTTATACTTACACTTCAAGAGAGAAATAATTATGAGGTCGCACATGTACTTATCGCGAAACACATAAATTTTCATATTTAATAAATTATATATATGCGAATTTCTTTTAAATTAATTACCATTAAAATGCATGTCAAATTTAATTTTTAAAAAAATTCTTTATACCATATTTGTTATGTTAATTAACAATCTTTTATATTTTTCTTTTACAATATTTGCAATTTTGTTTATTATTTAAATTTATTTAAATATTTCTTTTTAAAATATATATATTTTTTTTAATATTCATTACTCCGAAAATACGTTATTTTTTTCACACCCAGAGAAATGTTTTATTTAAAACAAATATAAAATATATTTGAGTTAAATAAACGGGTATTTGTCTCATATATAGTAGACCATTTATATTTGGGGTAAATAAATTTTTTTTATTTTAAAACAAATAAATATTTATTTAAATCAAATAAAAATTTATTTGAACCAAACAAAATTTATTTATTTGGCTCTGAGAAAAATATATCATTGAACCTAATAATTTTTTGTCTCTTGAATAAAAAATTTTATCTAGAAACAATAAAAAAATTCATCCAGAGCAAATAAAAAATTTTATTTAGAGCAAAATACAATTTTTTTTTAAATCAAATAAAAATTTATTTGCCTCTGAGATAAATATATCATTGAACCTGCAGATCCTAATAATTTTTTGACTTAAATAAAATAATTTATCTAGAACAAAAAAAAAAAAATTTCTAGCACAAATAAAAAATTTTATTTAGCGTCAATACAATTTTTATTCCAATCAAATAAAAATTTATTTGGCTCTGAGAAAAATAAATCACTGAACCTAATAATTTTTTGTTTTGAATAAAAAATTTTATCTAGAAACAATAAAAAAAATTCATCCACAGCAAATAAAAATTTTTATTTAGATGAAATACAATTTTTATTTAAATCAAATAAAAATTTATTTGAACCAAATAAATTTATTTCTTTATTTGGCTCTGAGAAAAATATATCATTGAACCTAATAATTTTTTGTCTTGAATAAAAAATTTTATCTAGAAACAAAAAAAAAATTCATCCAGAGCAAATAAAAAATTTTATTTAGCGCAAATACAATTTTTATTTAAATCAAATAAAAATTTATTTGCCTCTGTGAAAAATAAATCATTGAACCTGAGAGAAAAAAAAATGGTTTAATTGGAAAAAAATATTATTATGATTTTTTTTATTCCAAAAAAAATGTAAAACTTTTTTGTAAATTGGCAATTTTGTATATTTGACTTTATAGACATAAAATTTTGAAATATTTCTTTTGTGATCACACTTTAGATTGACATATCAAATCACCCCCATCTTTTGAATATCACTTTTTACATATATTTCATTGTTTTTATACTGTTTTTTTTTGGTTGATTTTTTTTTTTATAGCAGGACGAATCCCTATTGTGCGCCATTTGAAACATACACGCAAGGACGCATGAGGGCACTGCGACCAACTGCGACTCAGACGAAAGTGCTATACGCTTTTACCATTCTTATTCCCGCGTTCGTTTAGTGAACACCATATTTATAATTTTCTCGAGTGTGTTTTCTAAGAGAAAAAAAACAAACAAACAAATAAACAAAAAAGAAAAATACTCAAAATGAGTTTGAAAATTGTGATTTCAACTTTTCTTCTACTGGTGGCTGTTTCCTTGCCGTTTGGTAATTTTTACAATTTTTCAAAAAAAATTTATCGCGTGCTTAAAAATTCAGTGAAATTTAAAAATAGTTTAAATAAAAAATAGAAAATTACATTTAAAAAAAACAATGTAAATTATTCCATTTTACACATGTTGAAAATTATTGCAATATTTATCATTTTTATTTATTTTTTTTTTGGTGCAATAAATATCAATGTGTACTGTTTAAAAACCGCCGGATGTGTATTTATTATATTTGTAACCGGTATTTTAAAAAAAAGTGTTTAATGTTAATTTACTCTCTAAATTTGAATTAGTAAAAATGTTTACTAATTTGAATTAGTGACTCACTTTTTGCTTGTGAATTAGTTAAATTTTACTAATTGTTAGTAAAAGTTACTAATAATTAATAAAATTTTTACTAATTCAGAAGCAAAAAGTGAGTCACTAATTAGTAAACATTTTTACTAATTCAGATGTAGAGAGTAAAAAGTTTATTTAATTGATAAAAGTTTATAAAACTTTTTATAAATTTTCATAAATATTTTGTAAATTTTCATAAATTTTTTTATAAACTTTTTATAAATTTTCATAAATATTTTGTAAATTTTCATAAATTTTTTATAAACTTTTATAAACTTTTATAAACTTTTTATATAAATTATTATAAATCTTGCTCTTGCCCGTATGTACTTTAAATAAATATTTTTTTTTAATAAAAACATATAACTGTTTAAACTAAAAATGTTTAAAATAGTTTTGCAATAAATTTTCTTTTTTTTTTTTTAATTTCAATGACACTTTTTTGTGTACATATAATATATAAAATCGGTTAGTCAGTTACGAATATTCTTGAAATTATATTACATCTATTAAAATTTTAAGAGTGTAAAATTTCTTTTAGAAGATGTTGGGATATAATCAAAATAATTGATCCTACAATTTAAATTAATTGCCTCATCATATTCTTTATCTAAAATGATTTGACTATCTAATTTTTATTTTTAAAAATACTTCTTCTTTTTTTTTATTGAACTTTTTCAGTGTCTGGCTTTTAATAATCATATTAATTTCAAATCAAAAATAAATAATATAAAATGAAAAAAAAAATAAAATAAAATAGAAATTAAATAAAAATTATTTAATTATTAATAAATAATAATAATGATAACAATAATAATAGCAATAATAATAACAATGACAATAATAATAATAATAATAATAATAATAAAAACAAAATATTAATAATAAATAAAAAATCTATAAATAAATAAAAGAAAAATAAAAAAAGAAAAATTTATAAATAATAATAATAATTTTCAATCACTGTTCAAGGTGATGATTCTTGATGAGCTAAAAAATGTTAACAATGGAATTCATCTTGTCAATCATTTACCAATTGATCAATATATTAGATTTCTTTTTTTTTAAATTGTTTATTTAATTTCCACCTAATAAATAATTTAAAAATTCAATAAAAGTAATTTGGTTTTTTTATGGTGTTTTATTTTATTTTCTTTTTTTTTTGAAATTTTCCATAATACTGTGAATATTTATTTCAAAATATTTTAATTATTATTATTATTATATAAGATTAAAAATTATATATTTTTTAAAGAGTAATTTAATTTTTATTGAAAACAATATAAGAATTCAGATTTGAAAAAAAAAATTTTTTTTAATGTTCTTTGAGAGATAATTAAAAAATAAAAAATGGTAGTCTCGTTAAATTGAAGGGGCACGACAAAATTAATGTCCATGTGCCGATAGTGATCTCATACATGGAAAATTAAAATGAAGTATCATTAGGGCTAAATGTCAAAAATAACATGAAAGGGTATAATTAATTAAATACTTCATAGATACAAATGAAATATTTTTTTTATTTTTGAATTCTTGGCGAAATTCTTTTTTTTACATGAAGAAAACAGTATTTATAATAGTAATAAAAATAAAAACAAAATATTCATAATTAAAATATAATAATATAATATAATATAATAATAATAATAATATAATAAAAATATAATAAAAACAATAATAATAGTAATAATAAGTAATATGAAAATTCTTCTCGGAAAATATGACTTATATAGATTAAAAAAAAATAACTCATTACATCTTGTCATTTTATATAAAAATTTAATTTTTTTCCCGCAGATTTCTTCCTCTGAGAAATCATAAAAAATGTATGTATATATATATATATATAAAATTGAATAAAAGATTTTTTTTTAATTGCTCAAATGAAAAAAAATGTCACATTAATAAAAATGTAGTCAAGAGTAAAATATTTTTTTGGAAACAAAAAAAAAAATGAGAAAGAAAAAACAATACTATTGAGAAAATTCTATTGTTTTTTTTTTTTTTTTTTTTGCATTTCTGCGAAGAAAAAAAATGCCTATGTGACGAAATCATATCCTATTAGTAAGTTTAAATAACTCGAGAATGCGAACAACAATATATATATTGTCATGGTAAAAATTGTATGTCATTTTTTCCCGTTACTGGTGGATACGTTCAATTAATTTTTTGCATTGAACAGAGAGAAAATATTAATTTATGTGCATTTCATGATTTCATTTTCAATTGAAAATTCCATATTTTAAATAAAAATAAATTTTTAAAAAATTATTTTTTAAAAATAAAAAATTATTTCTAATAAAAATTATTTTTAATAAAAAATTATTTCAAAATAAAAATATTTAATTTTCTCTTCAATTTAATAATTAAAAAATTTATAAAAAGAATGTTTGTTTAAAAAATTAATGATAATGAGTATTAGGAGAAATTTCATATATATATATAAGTTACTATAATAATTGAAGAAAAAATGAAATACTTAAGACTAATGGACGATCGCGCCCACAAGTGAAGATACGCTTTGTTATTTTCGCGTGGGTGTTAATTGGTGCGACATCTTCATAATTTTGAAAGTGTTATAATAATAAATAATAATAATAAATTATAATAATAAATAACAATAATAAATTATAATAATAAATAATAATAATAAATTATAATAATTTAAATCAAAGACTTTTAAATAATTATTAAAAAAAAAATTTATATTATTAATTAATAAGAATTTAAAAAATAATTTTTTTATTTCAATAAATAATTAAAATAATTAAAAAAAATCACCAAAATAATTTTTCTTTATTGAATTGTTAAGATTTTTCAATTTGTATTTGATTTTAATAAAGAATAGATGTTTTTGTATTTTTTCGAAAACATAAAAGTTAGTCTTGATGTAAAAATAAAATTCACAAAAAAAAATGAGCGGTCATTTGAATATAGCTGAAAATTGAGCCTTAAAAGATCGAATAGTGCTTCACTGAAATCCTATCACGTCGATCAAATATTTTTTTTTCACCTGAAATGATACATCGCGTGGGAGCCAAATTCAAAATTTATAAATTAAAAAATATTTTTTATTTACATATTAATACGAAATTAAAAAAAAATAATTTTCTTATTAAAATTTTGTTGCTAAATAATTAAAAAAATAATTTTTTTTTATCAAAAACGTGTTACTGTAAAAATAAAAATAGAAAAATTCGATTAAAATTGTTTAAAATAGAAAAATAGAATTAAAATATAAATATATATATATAGAAAATAATCGTCATAGTTGACTGGACTGTTGACGTGTTTCATTTCCCTTGTCCCAGATATGATATTATATATGCCCAGAGAGACACACGAAGGAAGTGCAAATGTAAACTGTCAATTTTTTTTTTTTTTTTTTTTTTATTTTACCTTAATTGTTTATCGACTGTCTGTCAAAAGAAATTTCTCAAGTTTTTCTTTGGCTCGTAAAACGCGAGCAGAAAATCATTTTATATGTCTATATTCTATATCGTGTTGGATCGTTATGTATATACTTAGATCTTGGAAAAATATGTCTGTTGATATTTTAACAGAAGAAAGAGAAAAAGAAAAAATTATATTCTGCTATATACAATTTTATATATAGTCTTTAACTTTATAGCTATAGAAAGTGTATATATATATATATGTGAAGGGAGCACGCAATCGACCTCAAGCCATAAGTTGAAGCCCTTCATATGATGAAGAAATGAGGGAAAAGTTGGCAGAACCTTTATTGCAAAAAATTCATTGTAAACAAAACGTTACAAAAAAAAAATATATTTTTTCACAATAAGATTTAATATTTAAACAAAATTTATTTTATAAAAAAATATAATATGTTTTCTTTAAAATTGAGTATATTACAAGAAAATTGAGTAGATTTGAAGAAAATTGAGGAAAATTGAGTATAAAAAAAGTTAAGTAAATTCCAAGAAAATAAAATAGATTCGAATAAAATTGAGGAAAATTGAATACATTTGAAGCAAATTCAGAAAATTCAAAAAAAAAAATTGAGTAGATTTGAATAAAATTGAGGAAAGTTGAGTACATTTGAAGAAACTTGAGTAAATTCCAAGAAACTTTTTATAGATTTTATTAAAATATTGAGAAAAATTGAGTACATTTTGAGAAAAGTTGAGCAAATTCTAAAACAATTGACTATATTTGAACAAAATTGAAGAAAAATGAGTACATTTGATAAAAGTTGAGTAAATTTCAAAATAATTGATAAGATTTGAATAAAATTAAGAAAACTTAAATACACTTGAAGAAAATTCAGCAAATTCCAAAAAAAAATTGAGTATATTTGAAGAAAATTGAGGAAAATTCAGTATATTTTCAAGAAAGTTAAATAATTTCCAAGAAACTTTAATAGATTTGAAAAAAATTGAGGAATATTGAGTAAATTTTAAGAAAATTCAGCAAATTCCTAAAAAAATTTAATAGATTTGAAGAAAATTGAGGAAAATTGAGTAAATTTAAAAATAATTGAAAAAATGGAGGAAAATTGAGTACAATTGAAGAAAAATGAGAAATTTCAAAAAAAATTTAATAGATTTGAAGAAAATTGAGTAAATTTAAAAATAATTGATAAAATGGAGGAAAATTGAGTACAATTGAAGAAAAATGAGTAATTTCAAAAAAAATTTAATAGATTTGAAGAAAATTGAGGAAAATTGAGTAAATTCAAAAATAATTGAAAAAATGGAGGAAAATTGAGTGCAATTGAAGAAAGATAAGTAATTTCAAAAAAAATTTAATAAATTTAAATTAAATTGAGAAAAATTGAATACAATTGTAGCAAGTTAAGAAAATTCCAAAAAATTGAGTAGAATTTTGAATAAAATTGAATACATTTGAAGGAAGTTCAGTAAATTCGAAAATAATTGATAAAATTGAGGAAATTTGAGTACATTTAAAGAAAGTTGAATCAATTTTTAAAAAATTTAATGGTTTTGAACAAAATTGAGTATATTAAGTGAAGAAAGTTAAGCAAATTCCAAATTAATTAAGTAGATTTGATTATAATTGAGGATAATTGAGTGTAATTGAAGAAAGTAAATTCCAAGAATGTTGAGTAGTTTTTAATAAAATTGATGAAAGTTGAGTAAATTTAAAGAAAGTTAAGCAGAATCTAATAAAAATTAAATAGTTTTGAATACAATTAAGGAAAATTGAGTAAATTCCAAGAAACTAATAGATTTGATTAAAATTGAGGAAAATTGAGTATTTTTGAAGAAAGTTGAGGAAATTCTTAAACAATTGTGTATATTTTGTATAATATTGAGGAAAATTAAGTATGTTTGAAGAAAGTTGAGTACATTCCAAGAAGATTGAGTATATTTGATGAAACTTGAGTAAATTTCAAGAAAATTAAGTACATTTGATGAAACTTGTGTAAATTTCGAAGAAATTTAGTAGATTTGAAGAAAATTAAGTAAATTCAGTAGATTTGAATACAATTAAGGGAAATTGAGCAAATTTAAAGAGAATTGATTAGATACCAAAAAAATATAAGTAAATTTGAATAAAATTGAGAAAAAATGAGTACATTAATTTCTTAAAATAATTTTTATATTTTTTTTAAACAATAATAATATATCAATAAACTCATTTCTGTTATTTGTCAATTTAATTAAATAAGGTGAAAAAAATAAAAAATAAAAGAAATTTACATTCCCTCGAACTTTTTTTCAACCCTGTGATCTAACCCCAAAAACAAATAATATATATCAGAGGGGGATAAAAATAATTTCAAAGGGAAAATTGACATATGAAAACTTATACATTTTCCCTTAAAAAAAAAGAAAACAAAATAGGTTACAAATATTTATTACAAAAAAAAACGAATTCTAATATTTTTTTTCAGTTATTAAAATAAATTTTTGGAATATATTTTTCTATAAAAAAAATATTTAAATACTGCATTAAAAAAAAATTGAACATTATTACGTATTATATTTTGAAGCACGCAATTTAATTGAGAATTTATTAGAAATTTTTATGACTCAAGATGTTTGACTTCAGTTATAGAAGAACTGGGTGGACTTTGAGAAATGCGCGTTGCAATATATGTTATATATATAGAATAAGGGTGGAAAGTTTAAAGTTTCCGAGGGATGAGAAATGACGACGCCGACTTTTTGGCGCCACGTTCTCATGGCCGATATAATAATGCGTTGAGGAATCCACAAGCAGACGCAATTTAAATTCCATAGTGATTACAAAAAAAAATTCAATAACAAAACATTTAACAACAATAGGAAATTTATTTTTTATAATTTTTATCTAAATTTTAATATTTTTAATTTTATCAAGTAAAATAGGTATTTCAAAAAAAAAAATAAAATACATTTTGTATAAAAAAAGTTTTTTATAAAAAATAAAGTTTTCTATATAAAAAATAGAAAAGGATTTTTTATTGTATATAAAAAAAATTCGTGAGTAAGCAGACAGCCTGAAATTAATGAAAATAATAAATGTAATGCATTTTTGTAGGCGATGACACATCGTATAATTTTGAGGGGTTGTTTCAAATGAATATATATATAAGTATATTGAGGAAGTTGAAATAGGGAATAATTAACGAAGGGTCTAAAAATTTAGTCTACTCAGTTAACTTTTATAATGTAAAGTATAAAGATTAATCACTGTCTGTTTCTAATTTCGCAAATATATAATTATATAGGGTTTTTCCCCGTCTGATACGTGGAGCGATTAAAATGCATTTTTTACTCACAAAAAAAAAAAAATACAGAAACATTTTTTTTAATTTTACTATTTCATTTACAAAACGATTTTTGAATTTTTTTTTTCATTATTTATTGAAAACGTAATAAATAATTATAAAAATAATAAATTTTAAATTATAAATAAAAAAAATAATGAAATTTACAAAAAAAGATAAATATTTTCCAAAAGTAGGTTGTAGTATTTTTTTTATCTTCAATGATTATTGGGAATGTTAATTTTCTTAGCACCTATCTTTTGTTGAGAAAAGTTGCGTAAAAAAAAAGTCACACTTTGTGAATTATAACTAACTTTAAATGAATTTTATGGTTTACACGCATAAAAAAATGTTTGTCTTCACTTTTGCAATTTTCTCAGAAAAATCTTATACAATATTAAGTTAGGTTTTTTTTTTTTTTATTTATTCCCACACAAAAGTGATTTTTTAAAGAAATTTTTTTTATTTTTTCTATAGACGAGTATAATATAATAAAATTATCGATGAAAAAATTATCTGTATATAAAATCAATAAATTACTTTTCAAAATAATATTAGTTTTAAAAATTTTTTTTAAATATTATATTTTTGATTATTTAAATAATATTAATTTTTCAAATTTAACTATAATATAATACATAAAGAAAAAAGTTAGGAAAAAAAAAATTTCTACAAATTCTAATGAATATCCGGTTTTTCAACCCCTTATGTATATTATTGATTTTACTGTTGTTTTATAACACAAGTGGGAGACATTAATGCCTTGATTACAGGCAGGTGAACGTAACATTTCATTTACTATAATGCCATTATATAGTGTCTTTTATTTTGACCCTTATAAGTGCACCAATGAACCCTAATGGAAATTTCTTTTCAAAAAAAAAGAAATAAAATAAAAAGGAAAAAAAAATATTTAGAAATTACACATTTATTTAATGAATATAGTTCACAAATTTTTTTTCCCTAACTTTTAATTTTGTTTATATAAAAAAATTATTATAAATAAAATTATATTAATAATATAATAATATAATATATAATTTATTAATTATACTAATATTATATTATTATTATTATTAATCAATTTATTTATTTATATATTGAATAATTTATTAATTTTTTGTACGAATGATTAAATTTTTGACATAAATATGTTTAAAGACTGTAAACTAGATTTTTACGTTAAACTAATTTACTTAAGACTTAAGAAAACCAATTATGTGAAAATACTCTTTATGAATTATATAACATATTGAAGTAATTAAATCAGGAATATTGACGTCAGAAAAATTTAAAAAAAAATTAATTTTCAAAATATTTTTTTTTGAAACATTTCTTTTATTATTTTTTTCTTTTTTTTCTATTTAATAAATATTTATAATTTAAAATTTATTTATTAATTCTAATTATTTTTATAATAAATTTAGAAATTTTTTTTTTATTTATTTTGTTTATAATAAAAAATTTTGAATCTTAAAAAAATTCTGACTGGGGACAAATATATTTCAGTACAAAATATATTATATATCGGTTAAGTATTTTGATTATGTAATAAAATCGAAATTCATTGAAAATATAGAAGGAATTCAGTTCACAGTGATTTTTTTTTTCTTTTGCCTCGCCCTGGTTAATTACAATTTGTTAATGATACGTAACATTGTATTCTTCGAAGAGATAATAAACAACAAGTTGCCGAAGCATTTAAGCGTGATAAAAAGGGAAGGATACGCCAAGAAAACTATGTCAAGGATTAAAATGAGGGACATTAGGGAAATGACCCTTGTTTTTTTTCCCATAGAGATTAGAATTCACAAATATTTTGCGAGAATATTTTTTTTTCATATATTTACAATTTTTATTCTTGTTAGTTTTTAAATCCAAACATTTCGTTTGAACTATATTAATTTAAAAAAAAATTTTAATTTAAAGAAATTAAAAAGAAATTTTAATTTAAAGAAATTTAAAACAAAATTAATTTAAACGAATTAAAATAATTTAATTAAAAAAATTTTTTAATTTAAAGAAATTAAAAAAAATTAATTAAACAAATTAAAAAAAATTTTAATTTAAAGAAATTTAAAACAAAATTAATTTAAACGAATTAAAATAATTTAATTAAAAAAATTTTTTAATTTAAAGAAATTAAAAAAAATTAATTAAACAAATTAAAAAAAATTTTAATTTAAAGAAATTTAAAACAAAATTAATTTAAACGAATTAAAATAATTTAATTAAAAAAAATTTTAATTTAAAAAAAAAATTGAAACAATTTTTTGAAATTATGAATTTACTATATGTTACAGCGACGGCAATAAAATGTTACACTTGTGAGCATACTGGAAAATCAACAGATGACAACAATTGTTTAACATTGGCTAATTTGCAACCATCAATGTGTTCCAATCAAATTATGCGACTAACTGCAACCCATAATGCATTACCAATGGAAATAAAAAGATTATTAGAAGTTGACATTCCACCTGATTCACAACAAAATGTTGAATATTCCTGTGTAAAACTTGTAATTACTGGAAACGAAGGTAAAAATTTGATTTTCCTTTTTTTAAAAAAAAAAAAATATAAATTATTTGCCGATTTTTTTTTAAGGCCATGTCCAAGTGAGGCAGGGCCATCTACATTGAAACTAAAATTTTTTGAAAATTTCCAACAGCCTTTTCTTGAAAACAAGAAGGTAAAATGCTTTTTCCTTTATGGATAATTGATTATTGGCAAGAAATACACCAACTAAAACTTTTTTTGAGTTAAAATAATGAAAAAAAATTTCATGTCGATAAATTAAATATGAGCATTTTTTTCACAAAAACTGTAACAGTACTTTCTCAGAAATTATAATCAAAAATGCAATTTTCATTTGGAAAATTAATAAACGCTAAAAAATACACCAGCTAAGATTTACCAATCACGAAAATAACCAAAAAAAAATGTTTTTTAACATAACAAATTTTACTAATTATGACAGTCGTTTGGCAGGTTATATATGTCACCAGACGTTTCGCAATTTTGCCGAAAGGAGGAGATTGGCGCTGTTGCTAACCACCTGAAATACATAATCTACTAAAGGGCTGTCCATATTTTAAATATGTAATAAAATTTTTTATTGTTATTTTCGTGATTGGTGAATCTTAGCTGGTGTATTGTTTAACGTTTATTAATTTTCCAAATGGAAATTGCATTTTTGATTATAATTTCTGAGAAAGTACTGTTACAGTTTTTGTGAAAAAACTGCTCATATTTAATTTATCGACATGAAATTTTTTTTCATCATTTTAACTCAAAAAAAGTTTTAGCTGGTGTATTTCTTGCTAATAATCAATTATCCATAAAGAAAAACGCATTTTACCTTCTTGTTTTCAAGAAAAGGCTGTTGGAAATTTTCCAAAAATTATAGTTTTAATGTAGATGGCGCTGTCTCACTTGCCTTAAATCAAATTTCAGAGTAATATCAAAATAATAATAAAAATAAAAAAAAAATATAAAAGAAAAGGGACCTTATAGGCAAAAAAATTTTAGGTTATGTTCAATAATAGTTTTAAGCACTTCGTGGTTTCAGCTTAATTGAAAGTTAATTTTTAATTATATAAAATCAAAATCAGTTGAATATTTTGGATCGAGTGAAGTAGTTTTTATTAAAAGTTGATCCCCTGGGTAATTTCAATGTTAAAGTCAGTAACATAACCTAAAATTTTTTTTTGCCTCTAAGGTCCCTTTGCTCGTGGAGCGTCACAAATTTTTTCCAAAGTAGAATAAATATATTTTTTTCTATGTTCCGACTTAATTAAATTTTTAACACATTTTTTTTTTTTTTTGCAGGAAGAAATAATTATACAATTCGAACATGTCAAACAGCGCCAACCGAACAGATGAAATTTTGTAACACCGCAAATAATCAATTGAGAATGAATAATAATTTTGGTGTTTCATTTTGCGACGAATGTCGAAAGGATGAATGTAATGGTGCATCGACAATTGCTATTTCATTTCCAATTTTTGCAATTTTCATTATTGCTTCTTATTTCATTAAAGCGTAATTATTTGCAAAAATAAAAAAAATAATAGTCAATAGGACTATTTGGTATATAAGAAATTGATTTTTCTCAAAAAAAAAAAAAAAAAAATCATATTTTGTTCTTATGATAAAAATAAGAGAATGCGAGCGCCATTTTTGCCTTAAAAAAAATTTTTTTTTTCAAAATTGGATAGGAAAAAATTGGTCAAAGACCGAAAGTATTGAAAAAAAATTGTATAAATTAGGTTTAGAATTTTTTTTTTTAATTTTAAATAATTGGAAAAATTTTGAGCAGCCTTAAAAAAAAATGCTAGTCAAAATGGCATATATTATTATTTTTCTATTTGCTATTATAAGTAATTAATTATTATACTTTTAGTATACTATTGCGCTCGTAAGATTTTCTCTATATATGGAAGGTATTAATAAATACCTGGAGCTGCCAGTATTATTCAAATTTTTTTTCCTAAAAAAAAATTTTAATTCAAAAGCAATCTCGATTAAAAATTTTGATTGTTGAAAAAAAATCAGCTTTTTTTTGGCAGCTCTGTGAGAAACGCATCGAAATAATCGGCCATTAATATTTATGGCGAAAATTTTTTATAATTATACTATATATATATAATTAAGTCAAGCTCCATCGGGCTTATTATATTAACATTATATATACGTGTACCTCAATTAATTAAAATATTTAATGTATATTCGGATATGAAAACGAAAAAAAAAAAGAAAAAAAAATACCCAATGTGTTATGTGCAACGATAATTTTCGAATATTAGGAAAATTTACGTATATATATATAAGTGATATTACGCACGATATAGTAATTATTGTATGTTTAAATTATAAATTCCCTAAAAAAAAAATGTATGACACGATGAAAAATTATCTTCTAAATTTAAGCGAATTTATTCTATTAAAATTATTTTAACAAAAAAATAATAATTTATTTATAATTGGCTTAGAAATTAAATTGAAACGTGTCTCCTACATATTTCTCTATTAAAAAAAAAAATCATACACGCTAAATAAGTTTATGAAATAAGCAATAAGCATTTTATGCACGATGGAAATTATGTTTTACATATAATAATAAAGGAGTCTTGATCTACTAAGAATTTTATAGTTTTATTTATTGTATACTCAAAAAAAAAATTTGATTCAAATACTCGACTATTATCAAATAAATATTTACTTGAACCAAATAATTTTTATTTGAATTAAATAAATTGTGTTTACTAATAATTTCTCTATTTTAAACAAAATTGACTCAAATAATAATTATTTAATACAAATAAACCCTTATGAAAATTCCTTATAAGAAAATAATGTTAAAGCTGAAATGTTTTCAGTATAATGTTTTTTGTATAATATTTTCGCGATTATAGGTAAATTTTTATAAGAAATTCATTATAAAATTTATTTTCTCAAATAATTATAAAAATATAATTATTAGAGACTCTGTAATCAAATCATTACAATTTTATAATTATGAAAATGTAATTATAAAAAATAAAATTTTTCACGTGCAAAAATTAAAATACTATAAAATTAAAATTATAAAAATTTAATTATAGAAATTAATTAATTTTGTATAGTTATCAGTAAAATACAAAATTAATTAATTTCTGTAATTAAATTTTTATAATTTTAATTTTATAATATTTTAATTTTTGTACGTGAAAAATTTTATTTTCAATAATTACATTTTCATAATTATAAAATTGTAATGATTTCATTACAGAGTCTCTAATAATTATATTTTTATAATTATTTAAAAAAAAAATTTTATAATGAATTTCTTATAAAAAATTACCTATAATCGCGAAAATATTATACAAAAAACATTATACTGAAAACATTTCAGCTTTAACATTATTTTCTTATAAGGAATTTTCATAAGGGAAATATTTATTTGAATCAAATAAACTTTTTTTTCATTGTAATTTTTCACAAAAAGCGTATATGAAACTTTGGAAAAAAGTTTAAATATAAAAATAAGATTATAAATAAAAGAGGAAATAAAATAATAAATAATAATTTAATAAAAATTAAGTATTAATTATTAAAATAAAATTAACACGCTCTGAAAAAAGGACAAAACAAGCAAAATTTATAGGTTATGTTTATGTATAATTTTATCAAAGCCATCATAAACATAACCTATAATTTTTTCTTTCCTTTTTTTTTTGCGTGTTTTGTTTGTGAAAATAAAATTATAATTTTTCAATAATACTAAAAACAATCAAATGATAATTATTAATAAGAAAAAATTTATAAAATTAAAAATATATATATTTATCAAATATAAAATAATTTATTGAAAATACTATACCAATGGTAATGTAGAAATTTTGCAGACTGCGAGTATTTTTTATCAGTGGCGGTACAGTGCGGATGAAATTATAATTATATTAAAACCGCGTTGGACAAGAAGTGAATATATATTTAAAAAAAATAATAATTAATGAAAATAACTGGAAATTTTGAAAAAAATTTTGAATTTTTTAAATATTTATTCGCCATAAAAGATTCGAGCACTTTCGAAATTATTATGAAAAAAAGTAATTAAGTAATTTAACAAGTTAAATTAAAAAAATATATATAAAAGTAATAAAAATATGAAAACTAGTAAAAATAAAGAAATATAAAATAAATAATAAAAACATAAAAAATAGTAAAAATATAAAAACTAGTAAAAATAAAAAAATGGTAAAAAGTATTTTTAAAAATTAGAAAAAAATTTGTTTCGTCCAAAAATACAATAATAAATGTAATAATAACAATAGTAATAATAATAATAGTAATAATAATAATAATAATTGATTAATTATTAATTTATCAATAATTAGTGTTAAATAATATAAAAAAAATCATAATTTATAAAAAGAATTTATTTATTTATTTATTAATAAAAAAAATAGTTTTTTTTTTAATCTAAAATATAATAGGTAAGTATTATCTCTTTATTTCTACCTTCTGTAAAATTAAATTGGTCCTTTATGACTTTAGAGATAAGGTATCTCATCGTCACTTTGCAACTCAACGAAAGAATAATTAAAATCAGAAGCAAAATGTCTTATTATCAAAGTGGTCTACTATTTTTATTGTTAACTTTATCAAATTTCGGCAAGTAGAACTATTTTATTTTATTTAATAAAAATTATTTTTTCTCTTCACAATTTACAATAACATAAAAATTCCAAAAACAATTCATTTTACAATTCCAAGTAAACATAACGACGTCATTCATTAAAAAAAAAAAAATTGTAAATAGTTATTGCAGTAGAAATTTATACATTAATTTAAATTATTTATTTATTTAAATAATAAATTATAAGAAATTTATTATTTTTATTAATTATTGATTTATTATTTATAATTTGTTAAATAAAAAAATAATTTACTAGTTTTTTCTCATTTATAAAATTATTATTTTTGGTCAAATACAAAATAGGTACCTAATTATTTTTAATTTATTTAATTTTTTTTTAATTATTTATTTAATTTTTTTAAAATTATTTATAAATTAATTTAATAATTTTTATTTTTATTAAATATTAATTAATATTATAAAAAATAGCGTAAATAAGAGATTATAGAAATCTAAAAGTGAAAAATCAATTGCTTAGAAAAAATCGATTTTTTTCACAATAAGTGATTCATGTTAGTTTGGTACATTAACATTAATCAATAAAAACTTAAAGAGTAATTGTTTCCTTTTGACTCACACTGCAGAAGAATTATTTACAAATGAATCAGTATTTTCTGGTTTTATTCCACTTTTTTTTTTTAAATATTGTTTTTTTTTTTTAATTTCAAACGCATCTTTCTCTTATATTGTGAAATTTTGAAAAATATTTTTATATTTTAACACCTCTATATGAAAAATATTATTTAGATGACCATTAATTATATAATTAAATTTCTTCTCATTGTCAGATCTATTTAGAGGAAATGTCTTATTTAAATTATATTCTCTGTAATTTTCGCTATATATATATACTTTATACACATTTAGATGACAGTTACTCATCTTTTATGAACACTGAAAAAAAAATTTTTTTATTTGATTCAAATATATAATTAGTTACTTTTCTATTATCAAATAAATATTTATACTTGAAGCAAATAATTTTTATTTCAATTTATAATTTTAATTTATTTGAATCAATAATTTTTGCATTTCAAATAAGTAAAATTTAATTGCAAAAAAAAAAATTTAATTTAATTGAAAAAAATTATTTTGTTCAAGTAAATATTTATTTGATAACAGTAAAGTAAAGGATTATTTAAATCAAGTAAATTTTTTTTTTTAGTCAAAATAATAATAATAATATGCGATAATTATAATAAAAAAAAATTATTGACGTGATTTTTCGACAGAAATTGTTCATAATGAAGATAATTTATGGTGTTATGAATGTAACACAAATTTGAAGAAAGAAAGAACACAAGAATGCAATGATCCTTATGCAGGACGATCAGAAAATTTAGTTCAATGTCCTCAAAATGGATCTCAACAATGTCTCAAAAGTATAATATCATGTAAGTTACATTATTTCTTTTTTTTTTTGTCCCCATTGTGCATACATGGAACAATAAATCGTTTAATGTTTGAGAACGTGGGTAAATATTAGAAATGTGTGTATTCCTATAACTACTGAAATAATTATCTACGAATCTCTAACTTTTATCTCATATAATAAACATTTTTCATAGTATTAGAAAAAAAAAAATAAGAAACTGTTAAATATAATTCGGATAATTATATAATTTTATAATTTATTTGAAATAAGTAAAATTTTTATTTAAATCAAATAAAATTTATTTGAAACAAATAAAATTTATGTAAAATAATTTATGTAATATTTATTTATATAAATTTTATTTTATTTACAAATAACATTTTTATTTTTAAACAAATAAAATTTTATTTAATGGAAATAAAATTTTTATTAAAATCAAATGAAAATTTATTTGGCACTTCGATAAAAAAAAAAAAATGATGTGTTTGTATTTGTAATTTTTCTATACATATATAGTGCAATTAAATAATTGAATAAAGGTCAGAGTCCCTCCTTGATATAAATTTAAAGCAACGTAATTTCAAAACCTTTAATGAAATTTTAACTACCATTAAAAATGTTCCTGTAATTCAACAATTATATAAAACTAATTAATTATATTTTTATATCAATTTATTAATTGTAACAAATTATTAATTATTAATTTTATTGATAATATATTTTAAAGTAAAATTAAAAAAAAAAAATTCTTTCTAGACAAATCAAGACATACAACCGTAAGAGGATGTGTTTCGTCAAATACAATTGATACCTATTGTAATTTTAAAGATTTCTATCCAGACGCCAAAATTGAATGTTTTTTTTGCTCCAGCTATGGTTGTAATTCATCAATGTGCGTTAATTTTAATATTTTTATTATTTTAACAACAATTTTTATTGTATACTTCAAAAATTTCTAATGCACTGAAAAAAAAATTTATTTGATTCAAATAATCGTTTACTTGATCGATTATTAATATTATTATTATTATTTATTAATTAAGCTTCAGCCTTTCGGCCCAGAAGTGGACTTGGTTTAATACAAAATTAAAAAAATAAAAAAAATTTTAAAAATGATCGATTATTAATATTATTATTAAATAAATATTTATTTGTAACGCACAAATATTTTTTATACCATTTTTTTGTATTAACCCAATTTTTTTGGTTATTTTAAACAAAATTTGTTTGATTCAAATAAATATTTATTTGATTTAAATAAACGTTTATTTTAATATTACTTAATAAAAATAACATTTAATAAATTTTGTCGAACAAAGAAAGAAATTGATTGAGCCAAATAAACTTTTGGTTGATTCAAACAAATTTTTTCTGAGTGTAAAGATATAGGGACCTTTGGAAGCAAACAAATTGTAGGTTATGTAATATTAATTCCTAATTCTAATTTATTTTTATAAAAAATATAAAAAAATGAATTTTTTATTTTTGTAACGATTTTTGATTATGAATATATAATAATAATAAATATAATTATTGTTAAATAAGAATGGTGCCTTTTATACGAGGGGCTGTTCACTCTCAAATACCCGATTTGTAATGTAGAGAATATACTAGGTATCTTCCGAATATTCATCAATTAACATAAGAAAATATAAATTTCTTGATTCTGAATAAATTGTATTTTAAGTGGAGATTACCGGCGATTACTGAAAAGGACGTTCGAATTTGTCGAATACTATGCGAATCCAACAAATCTCGTCGATTACAGTAAAATCCTAAGTCATGCAGTAAGAATTGTTGCGAGTCACGAATGGTTACGGAGAAATACGAGCGAATTCGGCGGCAGCCGATTATTATTATTATTATTATTATTATTATTATTATTATTATTATTATCTAGTCTGCAACACGAAGCAGCGCAAAGAAGGAATTTGTGAAAATACTGTGAATATCAACGAGTCCGTGCGATTCCATTCGAATCCGAAGCCGAATACGTACGAGTCCTAAAAATCTTTAATGAATTCTCCAATATTGTTCAATTGGATTTTCAGTGAACAGCCCCTCGCTTTTATATATAAAAGACCATGACCGGAAAAGCCTGTTGACTTTGAATCTAGAAATTAAAGACCTTATATATATATGTATGTATAAAGAAATGAAAGAGACAATATATACTTAAGGGCTTGTCGCAGTAATAGGAACATAGAGTAAATTCAGGCAAAGAGAGGGCGGGTTAATAATGTTCAAGTCAATTTCGCAATCCATCGTTGGGTTAAGTGTTCTCGTGATCCCAACCGCTTAGCCATCTTCATTAATAACTTTGAAGGCGTCGCATCATCTTCGTCCCAAAAATAATAATAATAATAATAATAATAATAATTTAAATCTACTAATACACAATTTATATATATATGTATTACTAATACACCAATTAATTTTATTCAGCCAAAACTTGTTAAAATTTAAATATATTTTTTTTGCTTTCGTTTTATTTTAATAATTTTTATTTTCACTGAGAATCCGTTGAAATTCCAAATTCACCGAATTTCAAATTTGTCCGAATTTTTATTTATACGAATTTTTGCGACGCCGAATTTTCATTTATCCGAAATTATAATTGGTCGAAAAACAAAGGAACAGAAAGATTTCGGAGTAAATTTTGAAAATTGACCAATTCGAAATTATCATATAAATCGTGATTGGTCAATTTTCAAATATTGCGCCGAAATTTTTCTGTCAATTGTTTATTCGGTCATTTGTAATTTCGGACAAATTAAAATTCAGCGTATTAAAAATTCGTACAAATAAAAATTCGGACAAATTAAAATTCGGCGTATTAAAAATTCGGACAAATTAAAACTCGGCGTATTAAAAATTCGTACAAATAAAAATTCGGACAAATTAAAATTCAGCGTGTTAAAAATTCGTACAAATAAAAATTCGGCGTATTAAAAATTCGGACAAATTAAAATTCGGCGTATTAAAAATTCGTACAAATAAAAATTCGGACAAATTAAAATTCGGCGTATTAAAAATTCGTACAAATTAAAATTCGGACAAAATAAAATTCGGCGTATTAAAAATTCGTACAAATAAATATTCGGCGAATTGGAATATTTTTATTTGATTCAAATATATTTAAATTTATTTTAAGAAAAGAAAGAAAAATTAAGCTGAGGTCTTCTAGACCCTAGAGTGATAAATAAAGGTTAAAAAATGAAATTTTCCATTGAAAAATAAATTTTAAAATAATAATAAATAAATTTCTTAGAAAAAAATATATTTAAATCTCACTTCCTATATATATATATATATATATATATACGAATGTTTATTCGGTTTCCCTTGAGGTGTGGGAAGGACAGGTCGAAAAATAATGCTAACTAAGATAATTAAACGACGACGAAGACAAACGTATACTAGCGTTAATAACAAGAACATGAATCGTGGAGTTAAATATGTATTACACTGTACGTACTATGAAGTTTCATTGACGATGATCTTGCTCATCTATACTTAAATCCCAGTGTCAAATTTCAACCTTTCTTGCATAACAATTAAATTATGTGGAGCGTCTATAATTACAAAAACTTCATATATAAATGAATTTTTTATTTTAACGAAACGAAGAAAAAAAATAAAGCAAAAAAAATAATATTAAAAAAAAAAAAATAAATAAAAAAAAAACAAAAAATAAAAAAATTTAATACAATAGGTATGTTATAATAGAGAATTAAGCTCCGCGGTTATGGAAACGAAGGTTACTCACTTTCTCTATTAGGAATTGAATCCTCCAATAAAAAAAGAAAAACAAAGTATAGACAATTATTTAATCAATTACATAAAAAAAAACTATAATAAAATAATTTTATTATATTTTTAAATTAGACATAATTTTAGAAAATAGAATTTTTATATTTTATAATCTTTTATTGAATTCCATGACGAATTTTTTTTTCTCTATAATTAACTGAATTTTTATTTAGCCGATTTTTTTAAACTAAATTTACATTTAACAGAATTTTCATTAAATTTTTTTTTAATTTAACTCTTATTTATAATTATTTAATATTTATCCGAAATTTAATTTCACAGAATTTTTATTTAGCCGAATTTTTTATTTAACCAAATTTACATTAAACAGAATTTTCATTAAACTTTTTTTTAATTTAACTGACATTGACAATTGAATAATTTGCCGAAATTTCATTTCACACACTTTTTATTTATCCGAATTTTTTATTTAACCAAATTTCTATAAAAAAATTCGGCTAAATATAAAATAATTAATAGATAATAATATTATCAGTTAAATAATAAATATTTTAAATTAAAATTCTGTTTAGTAAAAATTCGGCTAATTAAAAATTCTGCTGAGTAAAAATTTGGCTAAATAATAATTGTGCGTAATAAAAAATCGGCTAAATATGTAATAATTAATTGATAATAATATTATATTATAAAGTAAATGATAAAAAAAATTTAGCTAAATAAAAATTTTCTTTAATGAAAATTCGGGTGAATAAAAATTGTGTGAAATGAAAATTCGGCTAAATATGAAATTATTAACAGATAATAAATTATCAATGTCACTTTGTGAAATAAAAATTCGGCTAAATATGAAGTAACTAAAAGATAATAATATTATCAGTTAAATAATAAATATTTTAAATTAAAATTATGTTTAGTAAAAATTCGGCTAATTAAAAATTCTGCTGAGTAAAAATTTGGCTAAATAAAAATTGTGTATAATAAAAATTCGGCTAAATATGTAATAATTAATTGATAATAATATTATAATTATTAAGTAAATTATAAAAAAAATGCAATTAAAATTCTGTTTAATAAAAATTTAGCTAAATAAAAATTTTGTTTAATGAAAATTCGGGCGAATAAAAATTGTTCGAAATGAAAATTCGTCTAAATATGAAATAATTATCAATACAAATTAAATAAAAAAAAATAGAATAAAAATGTCTCTTTTAAACAAAATATTTTGTAAAATAACTAAATAAATTAATTTTTGAATTAAATAATATTTGGAAAAAAAAATATTTCTGTTGTAAATACTGTTTTTTGTTTTGACACTTTTTTTTTGTTAAAAATAATTATAATCGCTAAAAAGAAATAGAAAATATTTAACTGATTTTGTATTATAAATATATATTTAAGATGAGAATCAATTATAAATATTTTCTAATGATAGGATGAGACATAATTCTGATGATTACGATAGTGACTGCATTCATCGTTCTAATGAAAGAAGTGAGTAACTCTCATCATCATCATCATCATCGTCGTGTTCCCCCCTTTTGATATTATTCCATCTTGGGGTCTCTCGGTTCCCTGCATCCTCTTTGCCTATGGCCCACCATATTTCCTTGAGGGTGGGGTTATTCGCGAAGCATGTAAGCCAACATGCATTATAACAACTTATCAGAAGGAAGCTGAATGTACAACTCGAAAGTATCGCGTTCTCTCCTCGTTTAGTTTATTTTCAACCATCGAACAAATATTGACTTTTGTCATTATTTCTTTTTCACGAAAAAAAAAAAATTAATTTTTTAATATAATTCTATGAACATTTTGTGCTTGTGACAATAGTGAATATCCCTTTGTGGATTTTTTTACATTGATATATATTTATTTATATATAAATTTCAAGACATTTTTTTCAAAATGGGATTAACCAGAATTAGTTGGACCATTGGTGTTGTTCTTTTAATTGCACTTGTTCAATGTGGTAATTACAATTTTTATTTTATTTTTGATAGGAATAAAAAAACTTTTTTTTTAAGATTTTTGGTTTAATTATAGATTATTATTTTAAAAATTAATAATTAATTTATATAAACGGATTTAAAATAGAAAAAAATCATTATAAATATTGCTTTTTTTTATACATTGAAAAAGAAAATTTATATTTGATTCGAATAATCGACTATTATCAAATAAATATTTACTTAAAACGCAAATAAATATTTTCTTGAACCAAATAAATATTTACTTGAAACAAATAATTTTTTATTGAATTAAATAAATTTTATTTGAACCAATAATTTCTGTATTTGAATTAAATACTATCTTAAAATTTATTTGGTTCAAGTAAATATAATTATTTGATAATAGTCGATAATTTTAATCAAATAAATTTTTCTTTTCAGTGTTCCACAATTCTTTTTTCATAGATCAATGGAAATATTGATTCTATATAAAAGAATTAAACAAATAATTTTGTAATGATAATCGAAAAAAAAATAATAATAATAATTTCTATTTTCATTTTTCTTGAAGAATTATAAGAATATTACTAAAAAATTTCGTAAATTCTCATAAATTCAAAATTGTAAAATTAAATTTTCCATAATAAAGAAGAATACATTATAATAAATTTTTAATATTATTAATCTCAACTAAATTAGAATAAATTTAATTTATTTTTCTTTTATTAAAAAAAATCATTGTGTATTCATTAGGATTTTATTTGAATAAATAATTGCTGCGCAATTTCAGTTATTGAAAATCAATAATTTTTTTTTAATAATTTTCTATTGAAAATATGCATAAGGTGGATTTTATTGCATTAGTTGAATAAATAAATTGCACAATAAATTACGTTATTATGCATTATATTGACAAGATTATATTAAAAAATTAAGTAATTTTAATTTTAATTTTTTTTTTCGAACTGAGTTTTACTATTCGATTAAGTTCGAAAAAATAATATATCATAGAATCTGAATAAATAATTGCAAAAAAAAAATTATAAATAAACTTTGTATATATATAAATGAGAGTCAAGTTCAGTTTTGTTTAACTTGCCAGCGAGTTTGTTAATCCTTATGGTATTTTCCCGCGTAGTATATAGATATTTCGCAATATTAGCTTTCTCTCGTCGAATAGTTTAAAGGTGATTTGATTCCAGGTATAAAAAACTTGTTATAGCGTTCAGATAAAAGAAACAATATATACCTATAAAATTTTCTATGTCTTTTTAACAAACATATTTTTTTATTGCTATTTAATTTAATATAATTAAAATTAAATTAAAAAATTTTGAAATTGTATTAATTTAATTATATTAAATTATTCAATTTTATAATTTATTTAATTTTATTAATTTTTTCCTACTTGTAAAAGAAATAAATTTTATTTAATTGTATTAAAAATTATTAATTTTTTTTTAATTATTTCTCAATAAATCGAATTATTTTAGTTTAATATTGTCAATTATAATTTATTTATAATAAATATTATTATAATTCACTTTAATAATATTCGAATATTTTTTTCACATTACAAATAATACGATATTCAATCTAGTGGTTTTTTTTTTAATTTTTGTGTTATTTCCTAGAAATATAGTTGCATAACCACATGCGATGTGGTTTATTGAGAATAGAAAATTTTCACACAATTAGTAATTCTATTTTTCTTTTTCAAGTATTTACTATTGTTCGCGTTATTATATTTCGTTGATCGACTTCCGGGATTTTTTTTTTTTTTTTTTGAAAGTTATTAAAAAAATTAATATTATTTTTCAAGAAAACTTCTCTCCAATATAATATAATTGAGAGGAAACAATTTTTATATTGTCAAGAAATTTTTTTTTCCTGTTTGACAAAATAATATGAAAAAAATTTATATATATATATATATAATCGGTATTTTTATTAGAACGATATGATCGTTACGTAATATTTAATTACTTAGTTTATATTCGTAAACTCGATATTTCCATATGGTTCGTAAATTATTTGTTTCCTTGAATGCTTCTCTCAATATAATAATACAATTTGAAAATCTTCTCGCATCATAATATCGTAATTTAGTTTCTATCAGCGTGAAATTAAATTTTTGTGCGTAAAATTTTTAAATTTTCACGATAATAAATTTTTTTTCCACAAATAACAACTTTACTTATACAATATATAACTTCTTTACTTTTCATTTATAAAATATATTTATATTTTCTTAAATATTGTATTATATATTATTATTATTATTATTATTATTATTATTATTATTATTATTATTAATTATACATTATTTTATATTATTATTACTATTGTTGAACTAAATCGGTGAATGAATGTAATTAATTACTTAAATATTTTATTTTCTTGCAATAATTTTTATTTTTACCATTTTTTTTTTTTTTGTCAAATATTAGTCATTCTTCATCATTTTTTATAAATACATACATGAATGAATGATAATTCGAAAAAAGAACATTTAAGTAATGAATCACAATGTTCTATTCAATGTCAACAGTAGATTTTAACGAACACATTTTTAATGTAAATTACTACTGTTACAGCAGCACGATATATGTTACATGATGTCAGAAGAAAAAATGGCATCATATATATGCGTCGTTCAACAGAATTTTTTTTTTTTTTTTTTTTATCGCGTCTCGTTATTCACAATAATCAATGTCAAGTGTAATAATTTAGTCATCGACGTGAAAATTTTTTAATAATAATTATTAGGCCTTAGAGAATTATTTAAATTTTGTAATCAAATTTTATTTTTGATTTTGTTATTTGAGATAAATAATAAATTAAAATTTTCTTTTTTTTGTAGCAAACGCCCTTAAATGTTGGCAATGCACGTCAAATTTAAGTCCAGCTTGTGGTGATCCCATGAATAATACCGAACACCATGGTACATTCCACATTCAAGATTGTGATTCAACATCGCAGCATCCCTATTCCTATGGAAGACACGTGTGTCGCAAAGTTGTCAGAAGAGGTAATTGTCAAATTTTATTTATAATTTACTTAATTTATTTAATTATCAAATTATAATTTATTATTATTGCATAATTAAATAAATAAATAATAAAATAAAAATTAAATAAAGCCCACATAATAAAATAAAAATAATAAATATTTTTTAAAAAATAAATTTTTTTTCAGTGTAGAAAAATAATAAAAAAAGTAACGTTTTCTAACATATAAGGGGAAAAATAATCCATTTCAATTTGACAGGTTTTTTTTATCAATTTTGAAAATCAAATCATTTCTTTTGTGTCAACTAAACAGCCCACTGTTATTAAAAAAAATCATGTCAAGGGAATTTCCTATATAGAAGGTTTTTATCATTTACGCGACAATTGCCATAGTGATTAATTTATTTTTTCTTACAGCATCCAATTTTCACAAATCCGTGTATTTAATTTTTTTATTCCTTTTTTGTTATTTACAAATTTTATAGTTTTATAATTTTTTTTTTTATTATAATTTATTATTTTATAATAATTAATTTATTATTTAATATTATTTTATTTAATATTCATTATTAGTTTATTATTTAATATTATAAAAAAGTGATTCCTTCGGCTTCTTTGAAAATAAGATAAAATAAAATCACGTAAAAACCTTGACATACACTTCTATATTGATATATGGAAATTATTTTCGTAAACGTGACTTTTTAGAAAATATAAAAAAAAAAAGTTTACAAAAATCACGTAAAATATGATATAGATAGTTTATTTCAATGATGATACAAAAAAAATCTCTTTTTATAAAAAAAAAGTAAAGGCATTGCAAAATTGAAGTTGAAAAAAAAAATCTTCAAGGCTCGATTTATATAAATCGTATAAATATGTGTATATATAATATATAGTGATGTATTCTATAAAAGGTCACAGAACTTTAATTGCTTTCATGCTGTTTACGTTTTTCTGGCATTATAAGGCTTCTTACCTTTTTATACATACATCTTGATCTACTTAAAAGATTTCTTAAACTCAATGCGGCTTAGTTTCTATTTTTAGTTTACTTTTTTCAAAATAATTCGTTTTTAGTTTATAATATATATATATATAATTTTCTTTTTTATATGCATATTTATTTTTAAATATTTACACTGAAAGAAAATACAATAAAAAATTTTCAAAAATTTTCAATAATAATATTTTTAAAAAATTTAATCAATAAAAAAATATTAATAAAATTTCATTCATAATTAATAAAAAAAAAAAATATTAATATTAAAATCGGTGAAAAATTTTCCCACGAAGTACTAATAAAAAAAATATTAATAAAAATTAATTAATTAATAATCAATAAAAAAAAAAAAATTAATCATTAATTAATAAAAAAAAATACTAATATTAAAATTGGCAAAAAATTAGAAAAAGTAAAATTTTGTTTTTTAATTTTCAAAATTTTTTTTCCGGGACTTCTAGTTAATATTGTCCTTCGCAGATGAGTGAGGAAATAAAATGCGAACACGACAAAATGAAACTAAACTGATGTCGTGTCACTAATAAAATCGTTGAATAACTATTTCCCTATGACTTGTTTTGTGTGCTTTGGATCAGGAATCAGACATGGTCACGGGGTGCGGCTGACCTTGCTGCACATCTAATTATTACAATTGCGAAGTTGACCAAGTTATGAGTCATAAATATAGTACAAATAACGTGTAAGAGCAAAAAAAAAAAATTTTTTTTCTTCTTTTTCTTGTATTCCTTTCAATTCCACTAAAAAGACAGTATAAGATGAATATAACAAGTGTAACACTGAGTTGCATTCAGGAAATGATATACATGACAACTTGTGAAGATGGTGAAGCTTAAATTATAAGATTGTAACTCATAACTCAAATATACGTCATCCTTCTGTAAATTATTTCTCAACACACACACACAATATAGATTCATTACCTCCTACGCATTCTTTATAGGCAAAAATTAATGTTTGTCGAGAACTCAATTTAAGAAAAATAACACACAACATAATTCGAAAATAGAAGAGGAATTAAAATTTTAATTATTGATATAAATTTAAAAAAATAATAATGGGGCGAAATTCTCCCAAAGAAAAAAGTATTTTTGATACTGGGGAATTAAAACTGTAATTTTCGATACTAGGGAGTAAAATATTTTTTTTTTAAACCTAGGAAGAAAAGAAATACTTTTTTCAAATACTCGGAAGTAAAATAGTTAAAAGAAAATTAATCCTTGAAATTGTGGAAATATATTTTCTTCAATGTAATAATAAAAAAAAAATTATTACCTCCTCAACCTTAACATTAGTTTCATATTCACTTCAAATTACGTAATATTTACTTGGTTTACAATTTTAATTCTATAGTAGCGAGTAACAAAGAACAAATTTTTTTTTATATACACACAAACAGTTATGGTGCAATAAATATAAATTAGTTTAAAAAGACATAAAATAAAAATAATAATACTAAAAATCAAAATAAAAAATAATTAAAAGAAAAATACAAAAAAAATAAAAATTATAATAACAATAAAATAATAAATAAAAATAATGATAATAAAATACTAAAATAAAATAACAATAACAATTAAATAATAAATAAAATAATCATAATTGTTATAATTATTATTATTTATTATTTTATTGTTAATATTATAATAATAATTATAAAAATTATTACGTACAAAATTATTTCTTATTATAAGACAATAAATAATTAGAATTAAAATTTCATAATTTTTTTTTTTCAGTTCACGGACAACGGGAAATTATTCGCCAATGTGCGGAACCAACACCGGAAGAAAGGGACATCACCGATGGACCATGCAGTCAAATGGCACAACCCAGTTATGTAACAGTTGAATCGTGCCACATTTGCAGTACAGACTTTTGCAATTCAGCAACTTCAATTTCGGGCAAAAGTTTTGTTTTCGCCACTATTGGTGCTCTTTTCACTTGCTATCTTACAATGAAAAAAGTTTCACTTTTCTAAATTTCAATATTAAAAAAAAAAGGAAAAAAGCTTCGAAAAAATCGAAATAAAAAAACCACTGAGCCATTTTACTCTTTCTTTTTTTTTAAATTATTCGAAAATTTTTTACTTTCATTAGTTTTTACATATATGTAAATAAGAGAAAAAAAAATTTTTTTCACTCTTGCCCTCATATTTTTAAAAATAAACCACAAATTTTTTTTTTTGAGAAAATTTATAGAATTAGAATTATGTTTAATTGTAATTAAGATTAGGTTTTATTTAAAAAAAAAAGTTTATGACAAAATTTGTAATATTTTTTAGGAATATTTATTTAAAATCTGAATTGTAATTAAAAAAAAAAAAGAAAATTACTTTTTATATTAATCGAATAAACTATAATTTTATTATATAGAAATAAATTCATTTTAGAGATTCTTTTAAGAAAAAAATGTTTAGGGAATTTTTTTTTCAGTGCAATTACAAATTTTGTCACAAATTAATTTTCAAAGGTACTATAATACATTATTATTATATTATTATAAATATTATTTAAATCTAAATGTAGAACATCGAATCAAGAAAGGATAACACTACTGACCGAAGTAGTATTTTTTTAATACTAACGTTAAGATTTCGAAAATTATTTTTTTTTCCTTAATTTTATAAAAAATTGTCAATTTTCTAAAATTTGTATTTTTTTTTTGAAAGACATTTTCAATTCTTACTAATCATCTTCTACCTCTTAATTACTTTTGTAGATAAATTTCTTCAAGAATATATATATATTAATTATTGTAATTTTTTTTCGCTCAAACTAAATTCCTCTCCTATTTTCTTATCTGCGATTTTAGTGGAAAAAAGGGGGAAAATTGAATCTTATCAAGAATCCGTCCAATTTATGTGAAATTTTGTTTTCTTTTTTAGAATCAAGAATAGACTTAAGATGTGAATTTCGAAAAAAAAATTCGAAGATCATTTGTTATTAATTATCATTAAAAATTGCGCAAAAACTAATTTCTGCGATCGTTACCCTAAAATCCAAGATTTATAAATAAATTGTTTAAAAAAATATTTAAACGTATTTATTATGTATAGAATTTTGGATACGTTAAGTAATGAAATCTCAATAAACTATTAAAAGTTTATTCATTTACGTATTTTGGTTAATTTATTATTTTAATTATAATTTAAATTTAAAACTAATTTATAAAGATTAATTTGACTGATTTATTGTTATTTTTTAATTGCCAAAAAGGTTTAAAATACCAATAATACACAAAAATTGATCACAAAGTTTCAAATTTTTATATTTTACACAAGTATTTTTTTTAATATTATTTACAATAAAAATATTCTACTATTTAAATAAAAAAAAAAATTTTTTTTTGCAAAGAATGATTGTATTGAAATCTTAGAATTCTGCTTGTGCTCTTTATATTGATCGTTTAATTTTTGTTCATTCGGATAAATTATATCACATATTATAAAATAAGTGTTGTCACGTTAAATATTATTTAAACTAAGAAATAATTTACTTATTTCAAAAAAAAAAAAAAAATTTACAGAATATTCAAACCTTGGTGCATGTATCAAATTTTTTTTTTTGCACTTCGTGTGAAAATCGTAAAAATGAGCTTTTAAATCCTAAAATTCAATAACATCATCATCACCTCTGTTTAATGGATCTCCTTTTAACAATGTAACGATTAAACTGAAAAAAAATTATTAATTATTTTTATTTATTTTATAAATAGGTATAAAAATTTTGAAATTTTGAAACATTTAATTAAATATGGAATTTTACTTACCAATATAAATAAATAAAAAAGAATATTAAATAATATCCAAGGAAAATTAGACAATCTCGAGTATGTTTTTTTAATTGTCCACGATTATGAATTTCAGTTGGATCATAAACACCCATATTTCCCCTAGGCACATTAAAATATTCATAAAATAACCATGCAGTCATTGGTAAATTTAAGGCACTTATGCCCCATTGTCCAAAGATGACAAGAATTATAAATAATACAGTATGAGCTGCTAATTTTGGCGTAACCCACTGTAAACAAATTTTTACTTAATTATTCTATTAAATTATTTTTTTTTAATTTTTAATTAATTTTTTTATTCACAATAAATGAAAAAAAAAAATATTTATCGTAATTTTACTTACCGCATTCAGTCTTGAACAACATTGTTGTGCATTTAAGTAATCACATTCTAAATCCGATAGTACAATTAACTATTTTAGAAGAATTTCTCAAATTAAGGAAATGAATATTTTATATTATAAGATATTTATTTTTTATTAATAATTCTTTAAATTATACGCGAGAAAAATAAATATTTTTTTTTGAATTTTTCCCACCATTCGCGGAAATAAATTGCGAACGAGACTTTTTGTATATTATAATATATAATTATAAGTAATTAATTATAATATAATTTTTAATTATATTTTATTATATTATAAATATGAAGCAATTTTTCATTTTAAAAGAAAAACTTTCCTACGATAATCAGAAATTTTATTCGTGTTTGTATTTACAATTTAAATTACAAATTAACAGAAAATTTGTAATTAAAATTATATTTCAGGAATAAAAATGTGATTCAAGATTGTATGTCCAGAAAAAAAGAAAAACAAATCTAAATTAAAATAATTTTCCCTCTTTTTAGTTTTATAAATTAAAATTATTGGAAAAAAATTGAGAAAATTTTGAAATTTTCTGCCATTTTTAAATTAATTGGAACTAAAATAAAAAATTCCCTAGATTGTAAACAAAAATGAACCGCAAATGTAAATAATAACAGTAATTATAATTTACAATAAAAAAAAGAATATTAAATAACAATTTTAAATGTAAAATATAAAAAGGATACAAAATACACTAAAAGAAATAATACAGCCCCTGTATCAACAAGTGCAAATGCAAAAATCAAAGGTTCTGGTATCGAAGTCATTCTAAATGATTAATTAATAAAATTATTAAACTTTGTGAGTCAATTTAAATCAATTTAAAAACATTTTACACTTTTATACAGTTTAATGAAATTCTTTAAATTTTCTTTTTAATAAAGAATGAATAATTTCATTGCTAAAAGTGCACTTTTAATTAATGACACTTTGACACTTGTATATCTATTACAATTTTGAGCTATTACCAACTTTACAGGAGAAAATGTCACTAAAATCATTGTTACATTTTCTCGACATTAGAAGGCGCTTCTCGCTATTAGCGGGAAAATTTGATTTTTTAAAAAATATTTTTAAGAATAAATTTAATTTAAAAAGTATAATACAATGATTATATAATTTTTATAATAATAACATCGAAAATTAGTTAAAAAAAATATGTGAGCGCAAAAAACGAAATTAAGTTTTTACTTTCAATAAAAATAGATAATAATAATTATATATAATATATTTGAAATAAAATAAAATTTTATATTTGAAAATAATAAAATCTAATATTATAATAAAAATGGTAAATTAATTATTTTTTATTTTCTATAAAAATCTTTTTGAGCACAAAAAAATGATTCCATAATTTTTCTCATATTTTACATATAATTACCTTTTAATAACAAGAAATTATCAAGGTTCGTCACTTTTGGATTAATGTGAATTTAAATGGACAAAAGAATAAAGAATTGGAGGCAAGATGATAATCACAAAATCCCAAACAAAAGTTAAATTGTAAAATCACTTTTACGAACAGTCAAGGTCTCTTTTACACTCTATTTAGGCGCAATATTTCTTGTTTCTTTTAATAATTCCGAGACCTACATTTCAAATTTATATAAACATTTTTTTCTTAATAAACAAAAAAAAATTTATTTCTAAGAATATTTTTCAAATATTTTCCCTCAATGTAAAAATTGACTGATGATCATTTGACTTAATTTGCTCTATTCAATTTAAATTAACATGTTTTTAATTAACGTTCTTCTCAATAAAATGTTTTCATAAAGACTTTTTTTTTTTTTTTGCTAAATAAAATATTTAGTTCATTTAATTCTAAATTTTTTATTCTTATAAATTGTAAATTATTTATTTATATAATAATTAATTTTACTGATGAAATTAATTAATTTCAGTTCCGAAAAAAATATTTTACACATTTTTGAAATTTTGAGTTTTAAAGAAATTAAATATTTTTAAAAAATACTTCTATTTTTTTTTTTATTTAATTGTTTTTCCATTAGCCAATCTTTAGCATTGAAATAACTTAGAAATGAATAAAAGTAAACAGAATCTGTTTTTACCCTTTTGTTAATATATATAGTCAAGAATGAGAAATGATCGAATAGTTATTTCTATATTAATCTTTAAAACTAAATCAATTTATTGAAAAATACTAATGGACAATCTTTTTCAATTATTTCTCAATTAAAAATTTATATATTTTTTTATTCTTTTAATATTTTTTCTAAATAATAAAATTTATGAATTATTTTTGTAAAAATTTCATATTTTTAATATAAACTAACATCAAATTCGATTTTTTATTTATTTTTAATTGCACCTTTATGGCTTTATACTAAATCTTTTTTTTAATACTGCAATTAAATTGAATTATTATAAAAAAAATTTACAATCTAACAATTTAAATAAACTTGAATCGATAATATCTGACATAAATGCAATACAGTGATTAATTGAAAATTTATTCTTAAAATGATGTAATTTATTATTTACTAGATATAATATTACGTAAAATATAATGTCGATTAACACTTTGACAATTGTCATTAATAAATTGCACTAATTGTAAAAATGGATGTTTCATTTTGTAAATTGCTTGAAATTATTTTAATAGAAATCTTGTCTTAGAAATCTCTCTTTTGTCTTATTGTTACTATAGCAATAATTTTAACGTTAGAGCAAATCAGAATCAGTCTTTGAAAATGATGAAAAGGAAATTGTTCATTTTACACCTACATAACAAGACTTTAAATTATTTACATTATTTTTCTTTTTTTATAATGTACATTTCGAAGAAATAAAATTAAAAAACTTTTACAATGAATGATAAAACAATTTTTTCCGGTACTGAAAAAAATGAATAATAAATATAAAAGAGGTGACAAGATTCTTTGATATTGCAATAAAAATAATTAAAAAACGAATTTTGAATTAAGTTTTTATATAGAATTAATTTTCAAAACTTATTAATATTTTCTCTTCTTCGTTTTTATTTTTAAAAAAATTACGTTTTTTAAAACTAATATATTTTATTTTTTAATTTTCGTATTTAAATATATAATAATAATAATACAACAAAATATATTAAAATAACTTTTTTTTCTGTTAAATAAAAACGAAAATAAACCTATGCGGAACTTGAAATTTGGAACGATTCATTAGTTTAAATTATTTCGCAATTAAACGATATAGATAAATGTTGTCAATGTCTTTAAACAGTTTAGTGGGTCATTTTGTTATTTTAAGCGTTTACTTAATAAATTTTCAATTTAACTGCAAATTTCATTTTTATATTGTTTTCTTAAATTTCTTTTTTGTTTTTTTATTTATTCATAAATAAACGTTTTATCACTGAAGTGAAAAAATTAAATTAATTTAATTTTTCCTTTTTTTTAAACAAATGTTTGTTTTAGTTAAAGGAGAAAAATTTGTAATATTCCAGGAACTTATTGAAATCAGATTTCCACTAAAGGGAAAAATCGCCTCAGAGATTTTTTTTTTTTTTTCATGGCAATTTTGAGAAAATGGGAAACTTATCTAATTAAATATATTGATTTAATAGAAAATAATTATTATGAGATTTTTAAACACTGCATTCATTGAATCTCAATAAATATATGTGAGACTTTTTTTTTATAAATATTAATTGTCGTAGTGGGGATTCGGCAGTCTCACCGAAGAAGTTGCAGCTCTTATAAAAGGCTGAAAATAATGTTGAACGTCACAGTGGTAAACGAAACGTCAATTTCTATAATACTCAAGTGAGATTTTCGTTACTGATTCTTTACTTTTAAATTTTTATTTTTCGTTCGTGTGACACGTTATAATTTTTGGATCAAAAGGTCAGTTTTGTCGAGTGCAACAAAAATGTTTACATAATTTTTATCTTCTACTGAAGATTTATGCAGAAATATTATTTCAGTGAAAAAAAAAAATTATTTCTTCTCATTTAATTCTTTTTTTTTTTATTCGGTTCAAATGCAAAAAAAAATATTTTGTTTTATTTTATAAAGTTTATTTAATAATTTTTTATTTCAAAAAACTTACTTTTTCATTAATTTACTTGTTAATTTATTTTTGTTTACATTGAAACAAAATAAGTTAAATAAAAAATGGAAAAAATTATTTTAGATTAAAACCGTACTTTAGAAAAAAAAATAATATTTACAATAATCCGGAGGTTTTTAAATTAAAGTATGTCGTTAAAATTTAAAAAAACAAGTTAGATTCATAAATATTCAGAGAAATCAAAGATTTAGTAGTATTTTTTTTTTTTTTTTGCATTTTGAAAAGAGGAATAAAATTAAACTAAAGACATTAATTTGAAACAAATTAATCAAAAGTTAACTGAAAAAAATAATCACAGGAGTGAATTATAAAAAAAGTGTATTAATTTAATACATTAAAAATTTACCATTGATTTTTAAATTACATTGAAGATAATTATTGCAAAAAAGAATAAACAAGACAATGCTTCCCCTATTCTTTAATATTGTCACACTTTTTGTATATTAATCAATTTCTTCACTTATTTATAATTTAGAGTTGCGTTTATTGAATTTCAATTATAATAACCGGTTTTTACTCATTATTCTAAGCAGTAAACTTTGGTTGGTTACAAAATATCTCGATTTTACTAAAAACAACAATATAAGAAAGGAAAACATTTTTTTAAATGCCTTTTACAAATTCAAAACTAATTTTCAAAAAAATTGGTTTTCTAAAATCTTATTTTTAAATTTTTTAAATTTAATACAATTTCTTTTTAGCAAAGAACGTCAAAAATTTTATAATTATAATAATCTAAAAAATTAAGAAGAAAAAAAAAACTCACCATTATTATGATCCTATGAAGAATGCGAATAATTTTTTTCCTTTTATTCTATTATTGTTCATCGACTCCACCTTCGTGACTATTTATATCCTGATGTAATTTATTCCATGTATATATTTGCTACATTTATAAATTATAAATGAAGCTTTCTCAGAAAAAATCCTCGTTTATGTGTGTAAGAGAGAAAAATTGATGAATCACTTTCATTTTTCATATACACGCAACACAATTTTGCTGCAATTCTTGAGTTTGAACTTGATTTGGAATTCACTTTCTTACGCACTCACGTCACTTGTGGGAAGTTTTTTTTTTTTCGTGGGATTATAATTTACGTAATAAAGCGTTGACGAATCGAAGGCGGATATGACACGATTTTTCCTTTTTGATCCTGATTTTGTTCCTATTAGTAAATAATAATAATTAGTAACTGAAAATTTTTTTTTTTCTAAATTTTCTATATTTTTATTGTTTTTCTAAATTTTTTATATTTTTTTTATTAGCTACACATGTAATTAAATAAGTGACTTTGAATGAAATCAAAAAAAGCAATTTTCGATTTTCTAATACAAGATTCTTTTGAAAGATTTATGAGACAATTACTTCCGCGTTTTGAGATTGAATAATTTAAAACTCAATTCCCAACTGACAGATATATTTGCCATTCGACAAATTTAAATTTAATAATAGTTCTTTTAAAAAAATATTTTTTTACCTTATTTAATTTTTCTTTTTGTCTTTTTCAGCGAAAAATAAATAATTAAATTATAATTTTCCAGATGGACGAGCCTCTTACAGTGGAAATGGTTTACATGTACGAGGTGGAAAATGCACGTAATCATCATACGGATAATTTTGAATTGGTCCATTTTGATCCACCAACATCAATTCTTCGTCGTGGTCAAACTTTTAATGTTGCATTGAGATTTAATCGCGATTATATTGATGAAACGGATATTGTGAGACTTTTATTTAGTTTCGGATCAAATCCAAGTGTTATGCGTGGAACAAGAGGCATTGGTACTGTGAATCGAGATAATCATCTCAAAGATTTGGAAGCCTGGGGTGTTCGAATGTTGGGCTCAAATGGATCCGATATTTCCGTCGAGGTACGAAGTCCCATTGACAGTCCCGTGGGTATTTGGCAGTTAAATGTTGAAACAACAATTGTTGGCAGGGGAAAACCTGTTAATACCCATTCTCATGACGCTGATATTTATTTGCTTTTTAATCCATGGATCAAAGGTTCGTTTTTCCTGTTAAAAATAAATATAAAATTTAGAATTTTTTTTCAGGATTGCTACAAAAATTTGCCACCCTGATAACAAAATTTCAAGTTTTTTTATAATAAAAAATTAAGACACTAATTTTTTTTAGAAAAATTGTCAAAAATCATAATTTTCGTAGTAAATGTTTTCTATTTGAAAAAAAAAATTGTTACAGAGGACAATGTCTATTTTGAAGATCATCAATTATTACATGAATATGTATTGAATGACGTGGGGAAAATATGGGTTGGTCCCTATGGCAGTGCTCGTGGACGAGAATGGATTTTTGGACAATTTGATGCTGCAGTTCTACCGGCTTGTCAATTGCTTCTCGAGAGATCAGGAATTAAGACAATATCCCGAGGCGATCCGATAAAAATGACACGAGCCATTTCCAGAATTGTAAAACTAATTAACATAATTATTTAATAAATTTATTTTCGAATTTAGAAAAAAAATTTCTTTTTAGATAAATTCGAACGATGATAAAGGAGTGATCGAGGGTCGATGGGACGGTGAATACGAGGATGGAACAGCGCCATCAGCCTGGACCGGAAGTGTTCCAATACTTGAGGAATTTTTATCAACTGAAAAAGAAGTGAAATACGGTCAATGTTGGGTATTCGCGGGTGTTGTAACAACAGTTTGTCGTGCATTAGGAATTCCATCACGTGTTGTAACAAATTTAGTATCGGCACACGATACAAATGCAACATTATCGGTTGATCGTTATTATTCAATGGACAATGAGGAACTTGATTATGATCCAAATAATCCCTCGGGTAATATGGATTCAATTTGGAATTATCATGTTTGGAATGATGTTTGGATGGCAAGACCCGATCTTCCCAAGGGCTATGGTGGATGGCAGGCAATTGATGCAACACCACAAGAAACATCAGATGGGCTTTATCAATGTGGTCCAGCGTCAGTCGAGGCTGTGAGATCGGGTGTTGTGGGATATAATTATGATATTCAATTTCTTGTAGCTTCAGTTAATGCCGATCTTATGCGATGGAAGGAGGATCCAAGCAGTGAATTTGGATATTCGAAAATTGAGAGCAATAAATATCAGTGAGTTTTAAATAATATTTTGTCGTGGAAAATTTATTTATCAATTTTTATTTTCAGCATAGGTCGAATGATCCTAACGAAAGCTCCTTGGGTTTTTGATCCAAATGGTGATACTGATAAAGAGGACATCACTTATTTGTATAAAGCAAGAGAAGGTAAATTTTTCATTCGAAAAAATGTTTTTTTTTTGAATTGTTCTTATATGAAAATTTTAAAGGAACTCCGGCCGAAAGACTGACACTTTATCGAGCAGTAAGGAGTGTTGATTTGGCAAAGAGATTTTATTCTTTTCCGGCTCCAGGCAAAGAGGATGTTGTATTTGATCTCGTTGATTTAATGAGAGTAAATATTGGAGATCCATTTACAGTTACTGTCAACATTGAAAATAAATCAAATGAGGTTCGTAATATTAAAGCAATTTTGTCAGCTGGAAGTGTTTATTACACTGGGATCAAGGCAAATATTGTGAAAAGAGCATCAGGATCGTTTGCTCTTCAGCCACATGCACGTGAGTTTAAATTCAAATTGTAAATTATTTATCCTTTTTTTAGTTTCTAATTTTATCACATGAAACATGTATGCAAATTTGAGAAATAAAATGCGAAAACATTTTTTGATAAAATATATAAAAAAAAGAATATAAATTAGAGATTAAATACCTAATTAACATTTTGATGGAAATTTTTTTCGTCTCTCTCTCTTTTTAGATGAACAGCTAAAACTCACCGTTACAGTTGATGATTATTTAGACAAACTGGTGGAATATTGTATAATGAAGTTGTATGCAATTGCGTCTGTGGAGGAAACGAGACAAACTTGGGCAGATGAGGACGACTTTCAGGTTCTCAAGCCGAGCATCGATGTCAAGGTATAATTCATTGGCCTTGCTCTCATCAAACATTACCTAAAAACAATACAATCACTTTAAAAAAAAACTCATTTTCAATAATTAATATAGTAATTAATAAAAATTTATTCAAATTTATTCTTCGCATAATTATAATTAAAATTAAATAATAAAAGAATTTTTTTTTTAAAAAAATAATTTTTCAGATTGAAGGGGAACTTGTCGTGGGAAGACCTTCGATTATAATTTTAAGTTTTAAAAATCCATTAAAGAAAATACTTACAAATTCGAAATTTCACTACGCCGGTCCTGGATTGTCGAAAAATAAAACCATTGAATTTCGCAATGTCGATCCAGAGGAAAGTATTTACGTTGAACATGAATTGGTGCCACAAAAATCAGGACCACAAAAAATTGTCGCTACATTTACATCAAAGCAACTTGTCGATATTACTGGATCCATATCCGTGGATGTTAATGAATAAATTTTTTTTTAATTCAAAAATTTTTTCCCTCATCCAATTGAATTTTTAATTATTTGTGTAATTAAATTATTAATTCATTAGAGAATAAGATTGAAAGAAAATGTCCCTTGTTTATAGTGTGTAAAAAAATTTTTTGTAAAATATTTATTCCCAAAAAAAAGAGATAAATTTTCTACGTTTTTTCTTTTAAAAATTGGAACTATTTTTTTTTTAAATAAAAAAAGAAAATTTAAAAACTTGTCTTTTATTATCGTTTATTAAAACAAAACCAAAGAAAAAAATCCCAACTAATAAACAGTAAAAAAAATATCAAAAATTGGAAAAATGTTCCTAAATTCAAAAATACTAAAAAAGAAAATTCTTTTTTTTTTTAAATAAAATAATTTTAGAACAAATACCAAAGAACGAGAAAAAATATTAAAATGACAATTAAAATTGATTTCGATAAATGTTCCTCGAATAGAATTTTTGAAATTTTGTTATTTTTTCCATTATTCTGATAATGCTTCTCCCTTCGATTCGATGAATTTCTAAATGTCTTCAATGCTTTTTTGAAAGTTTTCGATTTTAAAACATTAATTGACGAAAAATTGTCGTTATCTTTCAATTTCAAATCATTTTTGTCGCTCATACAATTTTTTTTGTTATTATTTACTCGTCTTGGTGAATTATTTGATTCCAATGTTATATCTGAATCATGTGAGTTTAACGATGTCAAACATTGACGGCAAAGAACAACATTTTTGTATAAATTTTGTGCACGTTTTGTTGCCAATTTAAGTGTTGCAACAGCTAAATTTTGTGCTAATCGATTTGTATTGTCGATCATTGGAAATTTGTGAATTTTACCATTCTTACAATTAATCATCGATGGCAGTGAATAATCGTCAATAAATTCATTGGAATTTTGATTTTTCAATTTTAATAATTCCGATGTCTCGGAAATTTCCGTTTTCAATGGACAACTCAAATTTGATGAGTATTTACGCTTTTTTCCGCAAGATTTACATTTTTGGGTATTTCTTCTTTTTCTAGTCAAATCACTGTTTTCCAATATTTTTGAATATTTACAAGTTTCTGAGTTTTTTGTATTTTCCAAATTTTTACAAGAGTTCTCAATTTTAGAATTTTTTGATAAGTTTTCGAATTTTTTCACATTTGCAATAAAACTTGAAGAAATTGATTTTTTACACATTGACAAATTTTCAGAATTCTCTTTATTTTCTTTGTCAATAATTTTTATTTCTATTTGAGATTCTTTTTTATTGTCCCAAAACGCAACGAGTGAGGGAATAAAATTTAATTTTGACATTAATCTGATTGGAGAATTGAATTCCTGATTATTTTCATTTACATTAATTTTCGATGAAATATCATTCAAATTTGAATTATTTATATTGATTTTTGGAATTTTTACTGAGAGAATTTTCAATTTAGAAAATGAATTTGAGCTTGCAAGTGAAATTGTTGAAACAATTTTGTGATGTTCATTGTTCATTAATTCAGTTTCTTGTAAAAGACTTTCACTTTTTGTTGCTATTGCTTTTAAAACGGAATTCAAACGTTTTTTGAAGAATTCATCATTGGATTTAATAGGTGATAATTTTTTCTTTAATTTAGAAATTGACTCTAATCTTTTACTTACGTTTTTTACAGGTTCTTGATTTTTTATTTCTTCGTTTTCTTTACCCGACTCATATTTTAAGAAAGACAATTCTTTTTTGAACTTTTTATTCTTCTTTGAAGAATTTTCTTCGCTTTGATGTTTATTTACAGTTTCTTTAGTTGATGATAAATTTATTGAAGCAATTTCTTTTTCGTTGACTATTTTTTCATTTGTAGTAGAAATGACGAAAGAAAATTCTTCATTTTCTATTTCTTTAATTGGAGTTGAATTCTCCATAGAATTAATTTTAAGAACTCTTTCGGATTCAATTGGAGAATCAATTTGAATTTCATTATTTTGTTTAACCATGAGAGAATTTAATGAATTTTTCTTTGAATCTTCATATTTTTCATTAGGATCTTCTTGAAAATTTAAAAGTTCTTTTAAAAGTTCGTTTATCAGTTCTTCAGATTGGATTAAATTTACAGATGATGTTTCTTTATTTTCTATATTTTCATTAGAAGTTGAATTTAATAATTCTTTTTTTGAATTTTCTTCTTGAAAATTTGAATGTTCGTTTATTAATTTTTCAGGAGGAATTAAATTTATTGAAGAACAATTTTCTTCATTTGAAATTGAATTTACCAAAGAAAATTCGTTCTTAGAACTGATAAAAGTATTAGCTTCATTAATTTTTTCTTTATCAACAACAGAATTTGCAGTTTTCAAATTTTTATCCTCTTCTTTAGAATCTTCTTCAAAATTTTTAACTTCTTTTACTGTTTCTTCAAGTGGAGTTAAATTTAGTTTAGAAAATTGTTTTTCTTCATTTACTACTAATTTTTCTTCATTTTCTTCTTTATTATTTGGAACTAAATTTTTTGTATCTTCAAATTTCTCAATTTTCGTGGATTTGTATTCTTCTTTCACTATTTCTTCAGTTGAAGTTATTTTTTTCCCCTTATTTAAAGCTGAATTTGCTGAAGAAAATTCCGTTTGATTTGATGATGAATTTACTAAAGGTGATTCTATTTTTTCAATTACATCAGAATTTATAGGAGTTAATTCTTTTGGAGCATCGCAAAAAATTTCAATTTTTTTTACAATTTCCTTCTCCTTCTTCGATAAATTTACTTCTTTGTCATCTGTTTGTGGTGTTTCTATATCTTTTTGTAAAACGCTCTCAAAATTTGGAACTTCCATTTTTTGCAAATTACAATTTTCTAAAGATTTATCGTCAAATTTCAACAAATTTTTATCATCATTTTTAGAATTATTTGGAAAATTAAATTTTCCTTTACGTTCTGTTTCTTCTTTTATGATTAAATTGACAAACGAAAATTTTTCTTCAACTTTCGAAAGAATGTTAATTTGATTCTCTGAATTTTCACAAGTTTCTTTGTTTTTTAATTCATTTTTGATTAATTCTGCGCAATTAATTGACGATGACGAAGAAAATTCTTCTTTCTTGTTCTCAGAAAAACATTCGTGTTTTGAAAGTGAATTTTTTGAATTGTTATTAGTTATTTGGACAATTTTCAAATTTTGTTCATGATCAGTTTCAATTTCTCTTTCTATTTTTGATATTTTATTATTATTATCAAATGAATCTGAGGATAATTGCTTCACGATATCTTTTAATTCGACTATTTTTAAATCGCTATCTGATAAAGATGCGAATTTATCGAATAAAGTTTGTGATGAGCAAACAGCAACGATTGTTCCTTTTTCTTTATCCAATAGAATCGATGTAAATGATCCATTTTCCGTTGAATTCAATTTTCTGTTAGATAAAATAAAAAAAAAAATTCAATGTAAATAATAAAAATGAAATTTTTGTTTTAATTGAAAAAAATCTACCTTTTCGCTTCATTCACATTTAATCCATATTTTTCAAGAATTTCTCTCAATTCACGAAAACTTTTTTTTGATGTTTTGTTGATAAACATTTCTGAAGATTGATTTTCAGATTCCAAAGATTTCACTTCAAATAAAATATCTGAACTTTTGGAACAAGTTGAAGTTTCAAATGAAACTTGACATGATTTTGAGGACGAAATTTTTGTTTTTAATTCGCAATTTGATTGAGAAATATTTTCATTCGATTGAATATCGAAGATAATTTCTGATTTTGAAATTTTCGATATTTCCATCTCGTCATTTATATTTTTCTTTTTATCATTTATGCTTTGATCGTAATGGGATGTATTCGATTTTTTCTCTTTCACGTTTTTATCGACAAAAGATTTATCTGAATTTGTGGCGAGACTTTGTCGTGAATTAAATTTTATGTATGTTTCTAAATAACTTGAATCATTTGAATTTTTACGCAAATATGATTTACGATTGTCGAATTTTGTTTTTGACGATGCATGAGATGTTAAAGAATTTACAGTTTTACTTTTAATTAATGACGATTTTGATACGGAATCGTTAGGGATTTCTAGACAATTTGAAGAAATTTCATTTTCTTCATCATCGGCGGTATTTTTTATTAATTCTTTTAACATTTTCATTACTTCTGGTTGTCGTGTTTTCCATTTTGCTCTTCCAGAATTTGGATTTGTCAAATTTTCCGTTATTTCGTTTGATGTTTTTGTCATTAAATTACATTTTTGATTTTCTATTCTTGCACTCATTGACTTTTGTTCAGATTTTATGCAATTTATATCGGATTTTTTTCTTAATTCATAAGATCCCATGCTTGTTGATGATCTTTGCATTTGAGAATTGCGATCTGATTTTTTTGAACTTGGAATTCTAAAGAAAATTAATTTCTTATTTTTTTACTTCTCTCTCTCGAAAAAAAATTATTACCTTATCGATGCATCAGATTTTTCTTCTCTCTTCTTTTCAAAAGCAGAAGTGATTAATCGTGTATTTTGCCGGGGAATTGGTCTAATTGATGAAAATGAAACATTTGCATTTCCAGCTGGTTTCCATATTGGTTGAGAACAATTATTTCGTCCCTTATTCGTTGCTCTAATTATTGGATTTGATAATTGTTTCGAAGTTCCGGGTAAAATCACAGTTGATGATCTCGTTAATTTTTCATTATTCGAATTTTTATTTATCAAAACTAATGGATTCGTTTCTTTCTCCAATGATGAAATAACTTTTGAAGTTAATTTACATTCGCTTGTTTCTGTTTTTAAATTTTTTATATCATTATTGTATCTTGAAGATATTTTCATATGCGTTTTTGGTTCTTTCTCTATTTTCACATGACTTATCGAATTTCTGTTTGAAATAATTGAAAAGATTTTTTTAGAAATAAATTTCATTTATTAATTTATAAATTAAAAATCATTTTTAAACAAATTCAAATTACCTCTTCGGAGACTTTTTACTTGAAATTTTGGAATTTTCCATTTTTGGCACAATTTGTTTAATTAATGAAACACTGTATGTTATTAGTTGTTCAATTCTGTCTTTCTGACTCGAAGAAAGTAGAATATCATTTCCAATCAATGTGTGTTTAGTCTATAAACAGAAATTATATTAAAAATGTTAAATTAAGAAATTAGTATTTAAAAATTAACTTTACATTTTTCTTTAAGTGTCCAGTGTTTCTATTTTTCCTCGAATCGAGAAAATGTTTGCAATAATAATACTCTGAAAATTTCCAAAAGATTTATTAATCTAATGTAATTAGTTATTTAATTAAAACTAATTTTTCTATAAAACCTTGTTGTTTTAAATATTCCCTCTCTTCATTTACGACTTTCATTAAATTTCTCACACTTTCGATTAATAATTCATTTGCTCCGTTAAATAAATCTTCACTTTTCTCATTGCTTTGAATTCTCATTGTACATCTGCGAAATATCAAAAAATATTTGTAATTTTTTTGTTTGTTTAATTTGAACATTACATTCTATACCTCGATATTCCTTCATTCAATAAAGTAACAGCATCGTCAGAAATAATGGTATGAAAAATTGAACAATTTTGAAAATGTCCCTGAATTGATTTCACCAATTTGCGATTTTCAAATAAAGTTGATTTCACGCCAATTAAAATGTTAATAACGTCAAAAAAAATTTTCTTCCTATTAGCTTCATATTCATTGTCATTTTGAATTTTATCATTTTTCACAAAAATTTGATTATCATTTAATAATTTCACTTCGATGTCTCCTTGTGCTGTTTTTAAATTATTTGGAGGTTGTTTTGCTTTTTTAATTTGATTTTTCAATTTTTCTCGATTACCTTCCAATGTCGTTGAAGATGAGAAGAAATTAAAAGCAGAAAAATTATTCTCCTCGTAATTTCGCGTATCACGCAAAGTTCTCCATGAATTTAAAGAAGAATTTGAAGAATTATTTCGTTGATTAACTAATAATGAAGGCGTCACATTTTCATTAGATGAAATTTTCTTTATTTTCGAATTCGAATGACTTTCATAAACAGAATCATTCGATTTCTTTCGTTTAATTGGAATCTTCAAATCTTGTTTTTTATTTATTGTATTTTTATTCGTAATATTTGAAAGACTAGATTTTGTTTGTGTATTAAATAATAAAATTGGTCTCTCATTTTTTGTCAATTTCCCAAAAGAAGAATCGTTCAATATTTTTGTACTATTTCGAAATGTAATTGACGACAATTTTTCCGGTACAATATTTTCTTCATGTAAATGTGATGAAATTTCTTTAATTGGTTTCACATCGAAATTATTTTCATCATGGGAAATATTTGTTTCACTATTTGAATTGAAATTAAAACTGGAAAATTGTTGTGAAATGGAACTATCGGAAAAAATTTCAAAAAGTTCCGGATAACGATTGATAATTTCATTATTTTCATTATTTGCATTTTCATTGGGATTTTCACGAGTGTCTTGATCCTTGTCCGCTAATACGATTAACTAAACCAGAAAAAAAAATTCATAGTAAATTTTTTGATAATGATAATTATACTAAAAGAAAAAAAAAACATTCAATACTTCTGCATATTCATTCCGATGATTAATTTTCTCCGAAATTTTGCTTACATCAATTTTGTCCAAGGAATTTGTAATTTTTAGACTTTTTTTATTTTCCATTTTTAACAACTCAAATGATTTTTCCTCGTCATCATTCAAACACAATAAGGAATCAACATCCATTTGTTTCGCAAAATTTAGAAAAAATATCACATTACACTAGACATTTTTTTTTATCGATGTCAAAATATTGTAGACCTTCATTTTTTTCAGAGGGGGGAGATGAAATTTTTTAAATTTCGTTATTGTAAAGAAAAATCAAATTTTTTTTTTGAAAATTAAAAATTTCAATTAATTCAAATTTTTTACCTAAAATTAAAAAACGGAATTATGCTCAAATATTGGAAAAAAAAGAAAAACTGTTAAAGAATTGAAAAAACAATTTCTCATCGGGAAAATTTAATATAAATTTTCATCTATTTTGTTTTCTTCAATGAAAAGTAAAAAAAAAAATTCTTAACAATACAAGAAAAATGTAAATTAATAATCAAACCGATTTTTATTGAGTTTTACAAGAGAATGGTTCACTTTTTCGCGGGTGGTGCCGATTGACTTGAAGATTTAGAATCGCGCATTGAGGCGCTGCGTCTTCGCTTAAGCTCCTCCTGTCGTCTGGCTTTAGCTTCCTTTTGCCTCTGAGCCAAAAGTTTTGCATATTCAGCAGCCTGTTCCTTACGTGCCAAGCAACGCCTCTTCTTCAAAGCAACCCTATGTCTTTTCCTCTGTAAATATCAATAAAAATGAAAATTATCAAAATTCAAAATTTTTTTGTAATTTTAATTTAAAAAACAATTCAGTAGTTAATTTTAATAAAAAAAATAATTAAAACTAAATAATAAAAGTAATTTTCTACCTGTAAAGTTTGTGGTGTGACCAATCGTTGGATCTTGGGTGCCTTAAAACGTTCCTTCTTGCCTTCCTTTTGAATTGGACGTTTAACGACAAAACGACGAACATCGTCGTCTTTCGTCAAATTAAAGAGCTTGCGAATTTTACTTGCTCTTTTTGGTCCCAAACGTCGTGGGATATTATTATCAGTTAAGCCAGGAATTTCCTTTATAAAAAAAAATCAACTTTTATTTAAATTGTTAAAACACAGAAATTTTGTTTCGTTCGTACACTGAGAAAATGTGCAATTTAAAACACAAATTCCCAAATCAAAAAAACGATTTTTTCTCTTCCATGAAATTTTGACAATTCAGACGATAATTGCTCTGAATATTATTTTAAATAACATGGCAAAAAAATAATAATTATAAAAATTTCCTTTACCTGTTCTCCCTTTTTCACGATGACAAGTGCCAAAACTGAAAGATTGGCATCAACAATGCAACCACGAACGGATTTTCGTTTCCGTTCTCCATCGCGACGAGGTCGATAGCAGGAATGTCCCTTTGACAGCAAGAGACGAACACGACCTTTTCGTTTAAAAATATTTTTTTACTATATATTTATTACAAATAAAAATAATTTTTCAAATTGAAATTAAATTTAAATCACTCTTAAATTACAATTAATTTTTAAATTACAAATTTAAATTTCTTAATTATTCAAACTTACTATTTGTCAAAACACCCTGTTTCATGGGGAAACCTTGTTTATCATTTCCACCAGCAACACGGACAACGTAACCCTTCCACTCATCACCTAGGGAATCGGCCTCAACTTCCGCACCCATACGCTTCTCGTAGAACATCCTGAGCTTGTGCTCGTCGGATATTTCGAATAGCTTTTGGCATCCTGTTGCCGGATAAGACACGTTCAACTAAAAAACATATTCATTAGCACATAATCACTATTATAGACATTCACTTATAGCATCCAAATTTTTTTTAGGTTATGTTCACTCCACGTTATAAACTGTATACATTTCGCTTTATTTACAAAACACAATATAATCGATAAATTGCTCAATTATTATCCAAATTGATTGATTCACATCAAATAAATATAAATTATTCAGGAACTTATGAAAAAAAAGAGAATAAAATAATTAGAAATGACACTAAGCGGCAGATGACACGACGAAACTTTCTAAGCTGTATTTTTGATCACAATTTAATATAAAACAATTAATATAAAAAAAAACACTTTCTTTAGAATCTCTAGTTTTCGAAAATTATATTATTTATAAACAATTGTTAACGATTTTGTAAATAAAACGCGATTCTTACCTTCATCGTGACAAACGATCACCGATTACCACGAATCATGAAAGAAAGAAAATTTCCACATTTCACCACCAGAGTGCGTTAAACCGGAAACGGAGGTTGGTTACGAACGCATGCCTCTCGAGTCGTATCTCATTGGTCGAGAAATCTATTTTTGAAATAATTTTTTAAACAAATATTTTTCTCCCAAAAAATTATAATAATACTATTATTGTTTATATAGAAACAAAATATTTATCACAATATAATGAGTAAAAATAAAAAACATGGTTATTTATAAATTTATAAGTCAACAATTTCAAATAAGCGCGCACTACACCAACCAATGAGAAATCAGTTGTCCAGACCAACTAACCGGAAATCTAAAAATTGAATCAAGTTAACATCCCATTTTCCAGTAAGTGGAAAATATGTTTAAAAAATTATTTTCAACAATTATTGTTTGTAAATTAATTTCTAATCGAGAAACATGATTACTTATTTAATTCGCAGTTATTTATTCATTACAATCAAAGATATGTAATTATTTTATATACGCATACATGAAAATTCGTAAATGGTAATTTTTCTTTTTCATTAAAAAAAAAAAACATTTTCTATCGGTTTATTTCAAGTATAAAAATTGAATTAAATTTTAAATAATAAAAATAGACAATTAACAGAAATTATCGAAAGTAAAATTAAAATTGTCGAAAATTATAATCAAAAAGGTCGTGACCTTATTCAATATATATAAAAAGCTATTTTCGAATATAATGTGTATATCATCATCATGGTATCTTGTGTGTGACAAGTCGTTGAAATCGATGAAAATTCATCTTTTATTATAGATAATTTATATGAACATCTATAGTGACCTAATTGTAAGAAACATTTTTTTTTTTGATAAATAATAATAATAATATATAAGTGTATATAGTGAGAATTGAATAGTGAGGAGCGCTTTCATCTTTTGCCAAATGCCGACTTTCTGCGGTGCATTGACATTTCAATGAAAAAAATTCATTTACAAATCATTTTTATGTACAAATTTCATACATAATTACGGAAAATAGATGGAGTGTACTGAATACATAGTTTCAACATTGTCCTGAGCAAGGTATTGTCATTATTTTTCCACATAATTCTACTTATCAATTTTGAGGTTAGAAATCGTGTTCGTTCTTTTTATAATAAATAAAATCACGTTGAAAATTTATAATATTTTCTTTAAAAAATAACAAATTTTCTGTTATTCGGTTTTTCTTAAAGGAAATACATTTAGAATTTTAGATTATTCTAGAAAAATAATATTTTAAGTACTTTTTTTATTATTTGTAATTAGAATAATGATAAATATATTTTTTTTGTGAAAAAGAGATAAATAAAAATTTTGGAATTTCGTTTTGTTTAATGATGTATTAAATAAAATAAAAATGTATACAGATTTGTAGAGAGAATAAAAATAATTATTTAGAAGGAGAACATGGATGATGCAGTGATTGATGTGCTCCAAAGAGCTGGGAATCAAGATCCCAATGTTTTTAAACCTGCGGTGCAAACTTTAAGACAATGGGAAACACAAAGAGGATTTTACACTGCATTATTCGTAAGTTCATTTATTATATTTTACAAATTCTGTTATATTTGTTTATAAACAAAAAATTCTTATTAACAATTTTAGATTAACAATTGTGTTGAATAAAATGATTTTTTTTTTGTAATTAATTTAAGTTTTTAAATAACTTAATGGACATTAATTAATTTTATTAAATATAGAAAAATATGAAAATTTTGTTTGCAATATTTTCAGAATGTATTTTCAAATCACGGTCTACATGTCAATGTTAGATGGCTGGCTGTTTTATATTTTAAAAATGGTGTCGACCGATATTGGCGCAAAGGTGCTCCTGGGTAATTAAATTTTGTTTCTAGCCAAAATTGATAATATCTAATTTTTCATACAATATTAAAAAATAAATCCTTTAAGTGAATTTATTTTCCAATAAAATTAACGAAATTTTTAATATTTATAGTGAAATAGCTGAGGATGAAAAAGAATTTTTACGAAGAGGTTTAATTTCACGATTTGATGAACCTGTCAATCAACTCGCTATACAAATTTCAGTTCTCATTGCAAAAATCGCAAGGTAAGTAATTTTTTTCCCCTTTAATTTAAAATAATAATTAAAAATAAATTATGGAAATTCTTGTTTTTTTAGATTCGATTGTCCAAAAGTGTGGAATTCATTGGTGCCAACATTATTGGAAGTAATACGTGGTCAGGATCCACTTGCACAACACAGATCACTTTTAACATTACATCAAGTTATTAAAACATTATCATCGAAACGATTGATATTTGATCGAATTCTCTTTCAAGAATTAACCACAAATGTGTTCAATTACATTTTGAATTTATGGAATACGTATACGGAATCGTTTCACATGATGGTGTCAAATGGAGGTGATATCAATCAAATTCAAGAGACATTGGAAAAGGCATTGTTATTATTGAGAATATTGAAAAAATTAATTGTCCATGGATTTCATAAGCCCTCTGAATCACAGGACGCGATGCTTTTTCTTAAAGTTATTTTCGAAAAGGCTAAAATTAGCCTTGAATGCAGTACGTTAATTTAATTATTCATTGAATTATATGCGAATTTTTTTTTTTACATTCAATTAATTAATTTTTCTTCTCAGGAAAAACACTTCAATCAAAGGGTATACAAATGATTGTTTGTGACAAATTTATAATTCAAGTTACGAAAATTTTATTAGAAGTTTTGGATATGCATCCATTTTGTTATGTTGAATTAATTCCCACGTCTTTGGAATTTTCGGTATTCTATTGTTTTACCGAAGCTGGACAGAGTCTTGCATTTGAGAGATTTATTATTCAGTCTTTAAATTTAATGAAGTCTATTTTACTTGCCAAGGATTATAGAATAGGAAAAACTTTCGATGGTATTTTTTTCTTTTTTAATTTTTATAAAAAATATTTCTATAATTACAATTTAATAAATGAATTAAAGTCCATTTAAAAAATGAAAATTTTTAAATGTAATTTTAATTTAACAGACACGAAAAATCCATTAATGTTACGAGCATATCAATTGAAACAAGAATTTTTTACCGCCGAGACATTAAATGAAATTTGCAAAAGACTCGTAACGCATTATTTTCTATTAACGCCGGCTGATCTCGAACTTTGGGATTCTGATCCTGAAAATTTTGGTAATAAATTTATGTTTTTCAAAAAAATTTGAATTTTCGTTTAGGGAATAAAAATTATTTTTTTTTTTCAATTTCAGTTTTGGATGATGGAGGCGAGTCTTGGAAATATAGCTTGAGGGTAAATTTCTAACAAATGAAAATATTTTTATTTTTGAATATTTGTGATTTTTTTCTAAGAAAAATTTATCTTTTTCAGCCCTGTACGGAATCATTGTTTATGACAATTTTCAATCAATTCACAGAAATTCTCTCTGCAGTTTTGGTAGATTTAATGCAGAGACATCATCAACTTGTCGATCCAAATGATTTTCATGCGATTTTAATGAAAGACGCAGTTTATAATGCCGTTGGTCTTGCTGCTTTTGATTTATACGATGAAGTTAATTTCGATCAATGGTTCTCAACAACGCTCAAAGAGGAATTAAAAATAAAGAACAATAATTACAGAATTATTAGAAGGCGAGTCTGTTGGCTCATTGGTCGATGGACATGTAAGTAAAAAATAATAAAATTAATTTTTACTTTCTATAAACTTGAAAAGAAAATATTCAATTGAATTTACTTTTTTCTTGAAAAATAATTTTCTTTGAATTAAATTTTTTATTTTGTTTTGTGATTTTTTTCAGGTATAAAATTGAGCGTGGAATTAAGACCTGAACTCTATGGATTAATGGTGGAAGCCCTAAGTCCCGAAGAGGATTTAGGTGTGCGATTAGCAGCAAATGACGCCTTAAAACTTGCAATCGATGATTTTCAATTTAATACTGAGGATTTTTCACCTTTCTTAGAACCGGCGTTTTCGCTATTATTCGCCCTTCTCAAGGAAGTTAATGAATGCGACACAAAGGTACAATAAAAAATTACAATAAATAATTGCTTTTTTCAAAATTTTAAACTAATAACAATTAGAAAAATAAGAAAAAGAATAAAATAAGTGATAAAAATTGAAATTTCCCTCTAGATGCGAGTACTCTACGTTCTTTCTTTCATGATTGAGAGAGTCGGAAGTGGAATAAAGCCCCATATTTCCGCATTAAGCGGATATCTTCCCGAACTTTGGCAACAATCAGAGGATCATAATATGTTACGTTGTGCGATTGTCTCAACTCTTGTTCATTTGGAAAAGGTATGTTAAAAATAAAAAAAAAATGAGATTATTAAAAAAGATTATCAAACAATTAAAAGAAAATGATTTAAATTTTGTTTTTCACAGGCCATGGGATCGGAAAGTAATGTCCTGGAGCCATTTGTCGTTGGAGCAATTGCCCTAAGTTGTGATGTTAATCAAGAAGGACATGTTTATTTATTACAAGATGGCCTCGATCTTTGGTTGGCTCTTGTTGAAAATGCTCCAAATCTAACGTCAAATATTATGGGCCTTTTTCAAAATATGCCATCACTTCTAGGTTCGTTAAATTTTACCTATTTCTTTTTATTTTACTCTCATTTTTCGTTTAATTTTCATTATTTATTTCGTTACATTTCATTGCGCTAAAGAAATCAAAAACATTCTTTTTTTTTGGATTTGATTCTTTTTTTCAATTATTAAGGATTTGGAATTTTATTCTTTTTTATATATGAGGCAAAATTCCTGAAATGTCCGAACAAAAAATTAAAAGTTCTCGAATTTAATCCATACTTTTCTAAAATGTTGTTATTGTTGGTGAAAGTCTAAAAATCAATTATTATTGAATTTAATAAAATAGTTTTTGAATTACAACGTTTTTAATTTTTGACTTTTGAAAAAAAATTTTTTTTTCAATGTTCAATATTTATAAGAAGAATGCATAAAAGTTAACATATATATAATGATTTTTGAAGCTTTTTTGACGAGCTACACGCTGTTAATAAAATTTTTTTTTTTTAAATAACATTTGACCTTGAAATTCAAGGTCAAAATGTTAATTTACGTTTATCTCAAAATCGGATTTTTTAAAATTATTTTTAACTATCTCAATGGAAAGCTTGACTAATTTCCTACAAAACATTTAATTTTCAGAGTGGGATCTTTTAAAGTTTTTGAGTTATTAATTAATTAATTAATTAATGTTTATAACAAATGAAATATTTTACAAACGAATAAAGTTACCGTAATTCTGAAGTTAGTAATTGAAAGTTAACGTAATTCCGCATCCAACGAGCCCTATATGAAGTATTTTGGATAAGTAGATTGTTAATAAACAATTAGTTAACATTGCAATTGTTTATTAACAATCTACTTATCCAAAATACTTCATATAGGGCTCGTTGGATGCGGAATTAGCTTAACTTTCAATTGGTAAGTTCAGCATTACCATAACTTTATTTGTTTGTAAAATATTTTATTTTTTATTGTTATTTAACTAAAATTGAACAAAAATACTTCATATAGGGCTTTTGGATGCTTGTTGTTAATAAAAAATAAAATATTTTACAAACAAATAAAGTTATGGTAATGCTGAACTTACCAATTGAAAGTTAAGGTAATTCCGCATCCAACGAGCCGTATATGAAGTATTTTGGATAAGTAGATTGTTAATAAACAATTGCAATGTTAACTAATTGTTTATTAACAATCTACTTATCCAAAATACTTCATATAGGGCTCGTTGGATGCGGAATTACGTTAACTTTCAATTACTAACTTCAGAATTACGGTAACTTTATTCGTTTGCAAAATATTTCATTTGTTATAAACATTAATTAATTAATTAATTAATAACTCAAAAACTTTAAAAGATCCCACTCTGAAAATTACATGTTTTGTAGGAAATTAGTCAAGCTTTCCATTGAGATAGTTAAAAATAATTTTAAAAAATCCGATTTTGAGATAAACGTAAATTAACATTTTGACCTTGAATTTCAAGGTCAAATGTTATTTAAAAAAAAAAAATTTTATTAACAGCGTGTAGCTCGTCAAAAAAGCTTCAAAAATCATTATATATATGTTAACTTTTATGCATTCTTCTTATAAATATTGAACATTGAAAAAAAATTTTTTTTTCAAAAGTCAAAAATTAAAAACGTTGTAATTCAAAAACTATTTTATTAAATTCAATAATAATTGATTTTTAGACTTTCACCAACAATAACAACATTTTAGAAAAGTATGGATTAAATTCGAGAACTTTTAATTTTTTGTTCGGACATTTCAGGAATTTTGCCTCATATCCAAGTTCTAAAAAAAATTTTCGCGATTATTTTGCTAAATATTTTGTTTTTAGAACAAAATTATATATACTCGCCTTTTTTTTATTTGGAAATTTCGTTTAAATAAATTATTTTTTAAATATTGATAAATTGTTTGAGAATATATTTTTAAAAAATAGATGAGAAATATTTGAAAAAATTGTAAATTGAAAACAAAAAAATTTATTGACAACTTTGAATTATCTCTCGTACTATGAGTTATTCAAAAATTGTGAATAAAAAAAAATGAATATTTTACAATATTTTTAAATGTTTCAAAAGAGAAAAAAGAAGGTAGGTGACATTTTTAATTTAAAAAATTGTTGAGAATAAAAATAAATTGTAAGTATTTAAAATTAAATGTGAGTAAAATTTTATATTTTACAAATTTCTAATTAATAATTAATTAATTTAAAATAAAATAAATATATTATGAAATATAGTATTAGTAAATGAAAATGAAAAACATCTTTCAGAAATGTCATCGGAATATTTGATATCATGTTTGTATATAATACAAGGATATGTATTCTTAAGTCCACAAGAATTTTTGCGAGAAAATGGTCCAGTGATAATGGAGACATTGCGATCAATTCTTGGAGATTTGAGATCAGAGGGAACTTTGGCAATTATGCGACTTCTTGAAGCTTGTCTCAAAGCATCGCCGCAACAAGCTACGCACGCCATAAAACCTCTACTTCCACGAATATTCGAGTGAGTATTATTTACAATTTTTTTTTCATTAAATTCTCGAAAGAATGGAAAATAATTCTTTTTTTTTCTACAGTGGCGTTTACAAGGGCGAAGAATATCCTCAAGTTATGAGCATGTATCTTTCCATTATGGCTCGTATTTTTCTCAATTCACGTGACTTATTTGTTGAAGTATGTTGAATAAATTTTAATTTAATTTTTTTATTAGATTTCAATTTTTCATATGAATGAATTTTAAAGGTAATAAAAGAATTATCGAGACAAATTGGCGGCGATGCAAATGAAGAAAAAGTACTTGGACAAATAATAAAAGTTTGGATAAATAAAATGCAACTTGTGCATCAACGTGATCAACAAAAATTATTGGCTATCGTTCTTTGTTCACTTCTTGATGCGAGCAGTCCTCAAAGTGTACTTCAATATTTTCCACAAATGTTGACAAATATTGTCTATACTTTGAATGATATTACAAAAATGGACGACATGAATTCTCCTATAGAGTGAGTATTTTAAAAAAAAAATTATAATTTTATATTTGAAAAAAATTTACAATTTTGTTTTATTTTTTTCAGTTCATTGATTTCCGATGACGAACGTAGTCCCTCGCAATATGAAGACACTGATTATGAAACTGAACATGCGAAACGAAGAAAAGAAATAGAATTAAATGACGTTATACACAAAGTACCATTGAAAAATTTTCTTCAAACGCAGGTAAATATTTTTTTAAATTTTGAAAAAAAGGAATATTATTTAAATTTTGAAATAATTTTTATGAATTTTTTTTCTTTTTAGCTAACTTCCTTAAGAAGAGTAGTTGGTGTTAATCAATTTGATCAAATGATGCACTCGGTTAGTACGGATGTATATAAACAACTCAAGGAGTACATATCTCTTTAACCGTATGTTAAGAAAATAAATTTAAAAAAAAAAGAAAAGTGGTAAATATTATTCAACTGATCATTTCATATTATGTAAAAAGCTTTACGTACTCCATTGTAAAACGGTCCTATTTTACTGTATTATACTTCTTCTTTAATTGTACCGATAATGTTCATAATAAAAAAAAAATGAATTTAAAGTTTCATAATGTTTATTTTTTAATCCCAAGACGAATAAAATATGATTTCTTTCCAATTTTAAAAAATCAAATTAAATACTGAAAAATATATAATTTTCACAATTTTTAACTGGTAAATTTTTTTTTAGCCGGAAATTGTCAACCTAAACACCTAAACCTACAATTTACGCGGGAAATTCAAAAAAAGGATCTCTTAAACGGAAATGTGTGTCGCTCTCTAACGAAGTGGGAATCAACTTTCAAAACAGCTGTTTATATCTACTTTGTGTGTCGGTGTCAGAACTCAGCAGGAGGGTTAAGATTATAACGTTCTTTTATTGGATATTATCGAATAAAAATAGTGGTTTATTTGGTGAGTAGAATAAAAATAATACATTATTTTTTAATTATTAAATTTGTCTCTTAAAAAAAAAAACAATAGTTATGGAAATTAAAAATTTCCAGCAAAAAAAAAAAAAGAGAAAAAAAGGTTTCTCATGCATGACTGGCTATGTACACTTGGTGTCTTGATAATTATTAATTTAATTATCCCCCCAATTGATTATGCATATTTTTCTAGACTTTTTTTTCCTTTTTTCATTAAGTAATTATTTTATCTCAACAAAATGTGATTCATTTTTTAAATGTTGCTATTTGTTTTCAATTGTGTTTGTTTTTTTTTAAATTTATTTATCTTTACAGAAATATAAATTTAAAACGTCTTTTTATAATTAATAATTAATAATTAACAATTAACAATTTTTGAAACGAAAAATCTTTTTAAAAAAAATTTCCACGTTACTGATTGAAGGAAAATATTGTCGACATGTCATGTTGTCATTTTTGATTGGTTACGACATCTGTCAATGATCGAACGCGCAATTTGAAAAATAAATTTCAAAGTTATAGATCTTAATTTCTATTTTTAAATCGATAACAAAAAAAAAAGTATTTAAGTGATATTGTAAAAATTATAAAAAGGAGAGAAATTTTTTTTAAAAAAAGGGAAAAGTAGGTAATTTATATTTAATTTTGAAAGTGGAGTTTTAAAATTATAAAGGAAATGAATCACTTTTGACTTAATTCGCAACATACGAGGTTGATAATCGGTCAATAACAAATAATTTAGTGACCAGCTTCCACTGTGAGTTACACGCCTGTGACGATAACAATGCGGTGCTCGAGTGAATATTATGGGCTTAAATGAAAAATGAATGCTCTATATTTTTTGTCGATTTTTTTTTATATATTCATTGCCTACAGGGAAATTAGTAATCATCTTCTGTGTGTTGTAATGAAATATTTTAAGCGACTAATTAACATTTTAAAAAACTGAAATTTCAGTTTAATTATTTTTTTTTTCACTAATTCAAACAAATAAAATTAGATTTGGAATTTAATATTTAAAATTAAAATAATTTAAATCCTTTAATTCAAAATTAATTATATTCAGATTTTGTTTTCCATAATCCTTGAATAGGATAAAAACTTTTTTATTACCAAAAATTATTTCTCATCTCATAAATGTTGATGTTTCCTTGATAAGTGGCAAATTAAATTTCCGTGAACACTGTGGAAGTAATTATTCGGAAATTAGATTTACGTTTGCATTTCTAGTTTGACCGAAACTTTCCAATAATTGGAAAATAAAATATATATTCGAACGAAATTGAGCGAAAATTTCAAAAGAAAAATTTTTTTTTTTGTTAGTTTCAGAAAGAAGGAAATAATTAAATTAATTAATTGACTATCAAAAACTCGGGCAAAAATAAAACGAGATAAGAATTTAAAAAATTACAAAAAAAAATATAACGATAATAATACGATATTCAAATATAAATTGAATCTAAAAGGTTATAATTTTCAAATTGAAAAATTATATTTTTAATTCTATTTTTCTCTTTTTTTTATATAGATATCTTTAGATACCTTGAAAGTAGATGTAGATAAATATTATTTAATTTGACTTTTTAAATATTGCTCAATGCTGATAACGTAAATGGGCCTAGAAATGATTTTCATTTTAAATTAATTAAATTTTAACGATTCACGAATTTTTGTATGTTTTACCTAAAAAAAAAGGCCACGTAAAAAAATCAAATTTTTAATTTTGAATGAAGTAATCGATTTTAATTGTTCCAGAAATTTGGTTAAAACACCCACATGGGTTCACTCTATTGGCTGTCAATTTAATGAAAAATAGACAAATTAGAATGATCGACAGCATCGTGTGTGGGTGTAAAATACATTTTTACGTATTTTTCTTCAAATTTTTTTAATTTTTGCAAAAAAAATTTAATATTTAATATACAGAATTCTATGAAAATTTTTTTTTTTTAAATTCATTAACTTTTTCTATGAAAGGGAAGTCGTGCAATTTTTTTAATCTCTCAAATTTCATTTTATTAATTTTTCGGAAAAAATTAAGACTCTTGAACTTTTTTAAATAAAAATTCATACGCGGATTCACAATATATATATATATTCTCCGTGGTATATTTTTAGAGGAATTCCCCCGCAAATGTGGGGGTGGTTTATAAAGCGGATGTACACTCAGCCTCTCAGAGGAGGGCGTACACTTTGGCATTGAGAGTCGTTATCTTTTTCAGATAGTATAAACGTGACGAGTCATCAATCATTAAACATATATATTTTTTTTTTATTAACAATTTGATTATTTTATTTCCCTGGTCAATGAACTTTGATATTTTATCTTATTCTATTTTTTTTCTAAAAATATTACCCTTTTCTTTAATAAATAAATAAAATGTCCTTTTTCTTCACTTGTGACATTTTTCAAGGAAAAATATAGAGGCAAAAAAAAATATTTTCTCTTTTATAGGAAAATGACGTTAAAAAAAATATAACGGAGAGGAAAATTTTTTTTTTCCAAACACAATATCAAGGTTAAAATATTTTATAAAACAAATGAGATTATTTTACTTGAGTGTATAGAGAGATGTGTCTTTGAGAAATTATGCAAAATAAACGCGTAAGAGGAAAATCTGACATTCAAGTCTTTATATAAAGGGTGGGGGGTAAAGAAACTTGTTTAGAACCGTTGCTTTCAGGTTTTAAGATGTGCTTTTCAAAGGAAATATAATTTATTATAAGCCCAGGAAAACTTTTTTTTTTTTTTTGTTCTCTTAAATCATTGAATGTAATAAATGTGGTTACAAAAATTTTTGACAAATATTGATATTTTTGAAAATTTATTTTTTTTTCTGATAAATTTAGAAATATGTATATATAAAAGTAGAAAATAATTTCTATAAAATATTGAACTGAATTTTTTTCTAGTAAAATAATTTTAGAAAATTAATAGAATATAATGAAATATAATTTGGAATTTTTTTTCAACTCCCCTTGATTTTGATTTAAATGAAAGAATAAATAAATCACGAATTGAAAAAAAGTAACAAAAAAAATGTTTCTCTTTTTTCTATAAAAGTGACTTGTTAAAATTTTTTAAAATAAGATTTTTTTTTTTTTTTTTTGAGAAAAGTAGAAGTATTCTGTTTATTAAAGAGAGAATTTTTTTCCATTGAGGCAAATGTACAAATAAAACATCTTCTTTCGCGGATACAAAACATTAACTTTTCTATAGAAGTGTATTTTTTGAAAATTTCTGCATGTTTATATATATATATTATTGTTTCGAGGATTTTTCGTACTTTCTGCGGTTCTCATATTCTATGGATTATGCAATACAATGAAATCACTCTTCCAGAAATGAGTCAAGAATATTTATTTTCAAAAAAAAAGGTTTTTTTTGAGATCAAATTATAAAATATAGAAAGTTTTGTCTTTGATGAAACTTATACATATATATATATATAGAGAGAGAATCAAAATTGAGGTTTGAATTTGTCAGCCTTTGGGAGTGTAAATTCATTTTCGAGAAATTTGAAGTTATATACCTGTGTACTGGAACTACGTACTTTAATATATATATAAGCTGAATGAATTTACCGTGAACGGCACAAGACAAACTTCCAAAACATTTAAATTTTACTCATTTCCTCTCTGTATCTCTCTTTCTCTCTATTCTTCCATAATTATTTAAATTAAATGAAATTTAGTTAATTAGTATATAACAAAGATCAAAGTTATTATATAATTTTAATTAAAAAAAAAAGGGAAAATAATATTAAAAATATATATATATACGAAAATAAGACGATAAGCTAATTTGACCTAATTTTACCTTAATTGTTTTACCTTGACCATACCTGACCTGCCTTGACTACATTTTATAAATATCCTTTTGGTCAAAATAAAAAAAAAGTTTTAAAAAACTATATTATAAATAGAAATAAATTTTTTTATGTAGAAATTTGCAAAATATTTGAAATATTTCTTTATATATGTAATATTTATAAAGGAGAATTTAGGATGAAGTCATGACAAAAATACTTTCCCTTTATAAATTATAATATTCTTTATTGCTTCAAAAAAGGTATCCAAGGCACGCTTAATTATATTTCTTCAAGGAAAATATTCATGCACTGAATTTGAAAAATAAAATTGTAAACATATATTTTATTTTCTTGAAAAATATATTTTTACCTCTTTTGTATTTACAAATAAATTTTGTTTTTTACTGTTTTTTTTTGGGAAAAAAATCATTGGATTTAATATTACAAATTTTCTTTTTTTTACTCAAATTTTAAGGAAAAATGATTTTTTTTTATTTAAAATTTTTACCAAATTATAATTAAAATTAATTTCATCAAAATTTTCAACACTAAATTGTAGAATTTTCAAAATTATTTTTAGTCAAAATTTTTGTGGTTGAATATAATAATTAACTTTTTTTTTCAAAATTTAGTAAAATTAATTTACACCCAGAGAAATGATATATTTTTGTCTCAGAACTAAATAAATATTTATTTCAAATAAATTTTATTTTAGTTTAAATAAAAATGTTTATTTCGCCTAAATAAAATTTTATTTGTGATAAATTAAATTTTTTATTTGAAAATAAATTTTATTTATTTTAAATAAAAAATTTTATTTTGGCTAAATAAAATTTTAAATAAAAAATTTTATTTTGGCTAAATAAAATTTTATTTAAATAAACTTTTATTTGAGCTAAATTAAATTTTTTATTTAAAATAAATAAAAAGTTATACTAGGCTTTTAGACAAATATATCATTTCTCTGGGTGTAAATTAATAATAACTGAAAATTAAAAACTATTTTTCTCTCAGAGCCAAATAAATATTTATTTCAAAATAAATTTAATTTAGTTTAAAAAAAAATTTTTTATTTTGCTCTAAATAAAATTTTATTTGTTCTAAATTAAATTTTATTTGTGCTAAATTAAATTTTTTATTGTGGAATTAAATAAAAAAGGCTCTCGGAGACAAATATATATTTTTATTTGATTTAAATAAATTTTATTTGTCTCAAGTAAATGGAAATAAAAAATATTTCTCAGTAATCTTTGACTTTTAAGAAAGAATTTATTTACTTAAAAAAAAAAAATCAATACCAATTTTTTATTATATTTTTTTTATATTCGAAAATAAATAATGCAATTTCTCTCTATAGTATCATCAGTGTGATGAAACAAATTTAACAAAATTTCTTGTTCGAAGGACAACCAAACCACTGAGAATTACATATATATATAAAACGGGTTGTAAAAAAGAAAAATCATTCTTTCATTTAGATATTTCAAAATAATTCAATTTATCCAAAAAGGAGTATTGAAAAAAGAATGACAAAGGTATTGGGGTGAATTAAATAAAAATCAGTATTTTTTTTCTAAATTTTTGATATCTCATATTTATATGATTTTTGTCAAAATTTTTTCCTTAAAAAATAATGAATAAAATGCGTGTATAGATGAAAATATTGCCACCCTGTAGAGGACGTACGCGTGCCTGAGAGGGTTGGCGCATGTTAGTAGAGAGAATGTATATACAGTCGTGGTGTTCTCGTATCGATCCCAAGCCAGAAAACTACCCCTAGAAAGGCGCAGTGTCCAAAAGACTTTCGCGGTGTTCGTGGCACCCACGCGGATTCACATTAAATATTTTTTTTTTTTGGCGCTACGTATAACGTCAATTGTTTTTTCAAAGAAGGAGGAAAAAAATAAATAAAAAAATAAAAACGGCCTTGTTAACAAAAAGAAAAATTAAAACCAAAAATTTGAAAACGGATTTTGAAACGTGTGAATTCTCCGTGACATTGAACCAGTGAGACTGATAATTGGTAAGACGTTTTCAATTCTAATTCCAATTATTTATAATTTTACTCGCTAGGGGATGAAATTTCATTTTCGATTTTTTTACATTCCAAAAGGCTTACTTCGAAATTATTTTTTAATTTTTTCTCGCAATTTTTTTATTAAATTTTTTAATAAAAGAAATTTTTTTCCATTTTTTTGGAGGAAATTTTTTTTTTTTTAAATTCTAGTGAATGTTTCTTATTCGTATCTATATAGAGCAAAAGAGTATCGATATTCAACATGGCCAAGAGGTCTCTGCTAAAATGCTTTTAAAAGTTACCCATATATTGAGAATATATATATATATATACACAGTGAAAGTTGCAAGTTGTTGCAGATCCATTTGGGAAGCTCCATTATATACTGATCTCGTTTTTATTATGTATTATATATATATTTTTTTTTTCATAAAGGAAATGAAGGAGAATTATTGAATATTTTTTTTTCACCACAAATGAGAGACACACGGTGTGAAACAAGCCGTGTCCATGACCGTTAAATAAAAAAAAAATCTTCTTATAAATGTCAGGATTTATATTTAATTTACCAACGAAGCCTTATAATATATAAGTTTTCTATCTGAGAAACGTGATTGTCAAGATCACATACCTTTCAAGTGTCTTTAAGTATTGTCTTTTTTGAAGAATAAAATTTTTTCAAGAAAAAAATAATCCCTTCGATATAAATTTTTGACGAAGAAGATATTCTAAATTTGAGAATATTACAGTTGTTTTTACTGTATAGTAGAAAAATTAGAATTAGAATATATTTTTAAAGACTAATGTTCCCATTGCTATTTTTTAGTTGTATTTTACTCTGGAAAAAAAAAATATATATATAAAAAAATATTCTTAAAATAAGAATATTTCTTGTTAAATAATATGATAATATAATTAATATTAATTTATAATAATAATAATAATAATTTTTATTATTATTATTAATTAATAATTAGAATAAAATATTCTTCTAATAAGAATAATGTTCTTGCACTGAAAAAAAAACTTATTTGATTCAAATAATCGATTACTTAACTATTATCAAATAAATATTTATTTAATCATTATTTTGGACAATTAAATTGTATTTTTTTCAAAAAAAAAGAAATAATTGATTCAAGTAAATATTTATTTGAAGTCAAGTAATCGATTATTTGAATCAAATAAATTTTTTTCAGTGTGTTAATTATTTCTATATTTTTTTTTTATTTCTATTTCTATTCGTATAATATAAAAAAAATTAGAGTTCAATTTATAATTTTCTTATATTCTAATAATAAAAAAAATGTTCAAAAATCAAAAAAAATATTCTCATTTCAAGAATATTATATAATTGAACTCTATAAAATGAATGCATGGATAACATTTTTTTTTTCAATAAAAGTCATATATTCTTAAATTTAGAATATCTGTTTTTTTTTAATACAGTGGAGCAATATGTTGATTTGTGGTTGTCGACTCTGTGTTTGAAAAGAGAGTTCGGATCAACAGCATTTATTCTTATTAAGTGAACACTTATTCTCATTAAGTCTATTAGAAGGGCGACTAACCAGGTCGTGACCTTTACTTTACCATTCTATATATAATTTTTTTTTCAATTTGCAAAAAAATTTTTTTTTTCAAAAAGTTTGAATAAACATATATTTTTTCGAAATATTAAAGGTTTCGTGTTAAAATTATCTATCCGGGAGAATTTTTTTTTTCTTTTTTTTTTTGTAAAATCGATTTTTAAGTATAGGAAATTTTTATTGCTCAGCGACAGGATGTCCGCTTTTTAATAAGCATTTTTTTTCGGCATAATCAGCATCCTCTTAAAATTTCAATATCCAGGAATTTCATTTTCATTTTCGTACACAATCGCGTATATATATATATATATATATATATATATATATATATATATATATTGTGTATATTACATCAACCAATAACAGCGCTTCTCTTGATTTTAACCATTTATTACTGGTACGTGATCCATAAAAAAATCTCTGCCATTTTCGTTGACTGTTGAATAAAATCCATTCAAATTGAATTTAATCGACAAGAAAGTAATTTTTTTTTGTTTCGACATTTTTTTATTTTATTAGGGTTTTGTTTTTTTTTTTAATGAAAATTATTTTGTATAATTTATATTTTAATTTTACGAATGTTACTATTTTTTTTACTACTATTACTATTTTTTAATACAATTATACTATTTTTTACTACAATTGCTATTTTTTTACTACAATTATACTATATTTACATTTTTTTTACTACTATTACTATTTTTTTACCACAATTAATATTTTTTTACTACTTTTACAATTTTCTTACTACAATTACTATTACTATTTTTTACAACAATTATACTATTTTTTTACTACTGTCACTATTTTTTTTACTACAATTACTATTTTTTTACTACAATTATACTATTTTTTTTACTACAATTACTATTCTTTACTACAATTGCTATTTTTTTACTACTATTACTATTTTTTACTACAATTATACTATTTTTTTACTACTATTACTATTTTTTTACCACAATTAATATTTTTTTACTACTTTTACAATTTTCTTACTACAATTACTATTACTATTTTTTACTACAATTATACTATTTTTTTAATACTGTCACTATTTTTTCACTACAATTATACTATTTATATATTTTTTTAATACAATTACTATTTTTTTAACTACAATTACTATTTTTTTACTACTATTATTATTTTACTATTATAATAATGATTTTTTTTTCTATTATTATTATTACTGTCATTTTATTTTTGTTAATATTTTCATTTTCGCATGTGTATTTTATATTTATTTATGTTTCAATGTGAATAATGAAACGTTTTCAGAAAAAAAATCATTGAAGCCTGAAAACGTTGTAAAATCATTACTTGTTTGTGAGGTCAAAACAATTTAATTACTCGTCACTCTATTAGAGTTTTTATCACCTGTTTTATTATCTCATAAATTTGGACCACAGTGAATAAATGTCCTAGTAAATTTCTTGCTTTTCAAAATTTTCACTTCTGTCAAAAATATAAATCAATATTATCTATTATACATTTTATTAATATATTGCCAGTAATTTTTTTTTTAAATTCAAACCAACTCTTCATTGATCAATAATAATAATAATAATAAATAATATAATTTGATAAAAAAAAAATAAAATCCAAAAAAAAATATCTTCCCTAAATTATGTAAAATTTCCTATAAAATTAAATTAACTTTTTTTTAGATTTAATAAAAAAAAAAAAATTGTACAAAAGAAATTCATTAAAAAAATATATTTTCTATTAAATTAAATTTTTTGTTTGTTTCAGATTTAATCTATCTGGAAATTAATATATATATATTTAGAAGAGGAATAAAAATAAAAGCAAACGACATCATGGCGTTCGCAGGACTTAAAAAACAGATCAACAAAGCAAATCAGGTATGTCACTGAAAAGATATATAGTCACCCACGTTTATATACTCATTTCCTTCTTCCTCTCCCTGTTGTACTTATCTTTACAAGTACAGGAACGAACATTAAATGTTTTGCATTTTGAAACAGAAAACTTTGACAATAATTTAGCCTCTTATTTTCCAAACTTTTTAAATAAATGATCCAAAATCGTAAAAAAAAAAAATTTAGGACAAAATTATTTTTATTTTTTTTTAATAGAAACCATTAGTACTTTTTTTTTATTAAAGGGAATTTTTATCCCTAGGTAATGAAGTATTTTATTATCTTCTTTCGTAGGTCTTATTTCATACTTTTTCCCTTCATATTTTCTTATCGTTATTTTCTTGCGTCTCGTAATCGGATTTCTTTCTCCCTATTTTTTTTTAAAATTTTATAAAGACCGAATCGAATTTTATTTCATAAATTAATAGAGATCGGTTATCATTAAAAATTTAATTAAAATTTTAATGTAACAGAAATTTAATTGTACTAATTATTATCATAATAATTATAATCGTAACAATTATAATAATTATAATCATAATAATTATAATTATAATAATTAAAATTATAATAATAAAATAATTTTTTATTCGACACATTTTTGCGTAGAGTAATTTATATTTATTAAAATTATTTCGTATTTTCGATTTGATTTAAATTTCGCGCCTAATCTATTTTACCGACAGTACATAGATGGTAAACTCTTGTAAAAAAAAGAACTATATATATTGTAATGACGTGTATGTTTAATGACATAAAATCGACTTTCGATTAAATGCAATTTCGTATGTGGAATAAAAAATTAAATGTTGTTGCCTATTTAGAAAAACGAAGAAATTCGTTTATGGACCAGTAGTCCGCCTACACGTTTATCGATATAGAGTTTCTATTGTCGAGTATATCTGCGAAGAGTCCATAAACCTCTTTGACCTTTATGTATCTCGATTACTTTGATGAATGAAAGTGTTCACGGGAATCGTACAACCCTTTCTCCCACGTTTTCACTATATATATACCTATATATATTACAATCCCAACTTGAAATTATTTTATCGAGGTAAATATTTGCATATTCAAGTTAATTGGCAATTATAAATGAACTTTTAATAACATCAAAATAAAAAACAATTTTTTAAATACCTTTTTGAAAATTTTAAAAGCAAAAAAAAAATAATTACAAAATTTTATTAATGAATTTTCGAAATATTTACTAATTTCTTGTTTTTATTTGTTTTATTTTCTATTTTTTCGTAATGGAATTTATAAAAAATTATTAAAATTTTATTTTATCCTGTAAAAATGTTGTAAAACTGATTATTTCCCTTTTTTTTCTCACGTGGGCGTAACTCGCGTCGACATTTCAGAATAACTGAGAAATATTAGTGTATAGCGAACGATCGATAAGAATCCGAGAATAAAATAGTTAATTTAATATTTTTATTCCCTTGTAATATTTTTTTTTTATAATAAATTAACTATTATTGTGACTATAAAAAAATAGATTTATAAGAGAAAATTTTTTTAAATTTTATTTATAATAATAAATATATAAATTTTTAGATTTGAAAAAAAAAATTCTTTTATATTGAAAAATTATTTCGATTTAAATAGAGGCAAACGATTCTGAAGGTCAGAAATTTAGTTCCACTTTAACATTTTATATAGAATGCTACAGAATTTAATTAGCTCTTGTTCTTTTATAAAAGACATTTTTATAAATAGCATATCTCATCTTTTATAACTATTCTTATTTCCGTTGAAATTTGTCAATGTTTTTAAAATTTAATCTGATTTTTTTCTCTTGATAGAATAGAAGAAAATTTATGAGAAATAATTTAGAAAATTAAATTTATTATTATGAAATATAAATATAAAATTAGATTCAAGTTAAATTAATAGAATATTTATATCAAATAAATATATTTATCTATATCAAGCAAATATTTATTTATATCAAATAAAAGTTTTTATATCTAATATTTATTTATATGAAATGAAAATGAACATTATTTAAATCAATTAAATAGTATTAGTTTAAAATACAGATTATTATTTCGCTTATAGGCTATTTGAATAAATAAAAATTATTTGGTTCATGGTAATATTTATTTGTATTAATCAAGTAATCAAAAAAAATTTTTTTATTTAGTGTAATTTACAATTTTAAGTAAATTTGGAATTTTTTTAAATAAAAAGTTAAAAAATTTATCATTAGGAAATGTAGGAGATGGTATTTTTTTTCTTCCCCACATTTATAAAACATTGACAATTGTGAAATTATATTGTCTACTTTCCCTTATAGCAATTGAGAAAAGGACCTCTTTTTCTTTTTATAGAAAACCTTTTCCAGTCCAATCACACTTCAACCTCTATTTCGTATATTATTGAACCTCCTCAAGGGACGAGATAAAAAAAAGAGGATATTTCTCCTGTAAATGCTTTATAACAAAGCAATTTCATTGTCGAGAAAAATTATCTGTCTTTAAGTCATTCAAAAAAAAAATCCTCTTTGAGTTACCAATCTATGTACTGTCGGTAAGGTAGAATTAAAAATTAAGGCGGAAAATTTAAATCGTTTTGAAAATTAAAATTCTCTAATCGAATTAATTGAATGAACACCGAAAAAACGAAATTTTTTCTTGATGCCTATTTAAAAATATTTTCCATGCATTTTATTCTTAAAGTTCGAATAAATTACTCCTTAAATTCTAATTTTAAGAATAAAATACATGAGAAATATTCTTAAATAGGCGTCAAGATATTCTCAAGAGTTTCGTTTTTTCGGTAAAAGGGATTTTCTTTTTCCCTTTGAGTTTACAATCTATGAACAGTCGGTAAGGTAGACTGAAAAATAAGGCGGGAAATTTAAATCGTTTTTCGGCAAATTTTAATTCTAATTAAATATAAAGTATTGAAAAAATTTGCAGAGCAAAGCACTCACTTTATACATCCAGAGAAATGTTTTATTCAAACCAAATATATTATTATATTTGAACCTATATTTGTCTCTGAGACAAATATATCTTTGGTGTAACAAAGCAATTTGATTGTCGAGAAATATGTATAATCCAACTATTGAAAACGACACCACTGAGTTTACAATCTATGAACTGTCGGTAAAATAGGACCAAGGAAAAATAAGGCGGGAAATTTAAATTGAAAATTTTAATTCTATAAATACGACAAAAAAAATATTCTTAAGAGCCTCGTTTATAGAGGGAATTATCAAGGAAATTGTGTGAATCTTTTTCTCTCTTTCTCTCTCTCTCTCACTCACGCGGAATTGAATCAAGTGTGTGACATTGTCACTGAAGCAATGTAGGTCAAATTTACTCTACGGTGTGACCTTTACCCGGCGGCTGCAACTTGCAGCTAGCCACGGATAAGGGAACGTACCCTGTTATATATGTGTGTGGTCCGTCCTTAAATGTGGGTCATGGTCACACGGGAGCTGAACAATCGTGCCACACAGGGTAAAAAAAAAAAAAAAAAAGAAAGAAAAGCAAGCTCGATGCTTTTAATCGCAGAACGCATCTTAAAAGGGTGGGTGGTTGTTTTTTTTCCCTCAATCAATTCAAAAAAGGGTACGAGACACTGTGTAATTGAAATACCCCCTCCCCCTCTCCCTTTTTTTTTCCTATTTTGTAAAAAAATATAAACAATCAATTAAATAAAAATGACGCATATTTTTTTTTTCTTCATTTTTGTGGATAATGAATATTATTCCTTTGGCAGAAATTCAAGAACGTCTTAATATTACATCACTTTAGATCAACGCGGTGCGGCTATTGATCCGACACTCTCGACCACCCCGTCGCTGAGATTTTCTCTTCTTTATACTTTCCCCCTTTTCGTCTTGCTTCAACAATTCTCCCATTACTGATATTCCGATCCATTTATATATGTGACTGCTACCCCTCGAAAAAAAAAAAAAAAAAAAAAAATTGTCTATATAACTGAATCCAGTTAGGGCCAACTAAGCGTTTTTATCTTAAGTTCAACACGCCTCGCTGAAGCTGCCGACCCTTCTTGTGTTTATGGGAGAAAAAAAAGTTCCCGTCACACACTTTTTTTTTAAAAAAAAAAGATTTTTGGTTGAAACCATATAATTAATGATTTTTCATTCATTTTTTGTTATTTAATATTATAGTCTGGATTTTTTTTGTTGATTTTTGATTTTAAATTTTTAATAAAATATTGGAAATTAAATTTTAATGAGGTGATTAAGTTCCGTACACTGGAAATAATTTATTTGATTCAAATAATCGGTTATTAAATAAATATTTTTATTTGAAGTAAATAATGTTTATTTGGCAGAGAAATGATTTATTTGAACCAAATAAAATATATTTGAGTTAAATAAACGTATATTTTTCTCAGAGCCTACTAACTTATTTATTTGGCGTAAATAAAAGTTTTATTTGTCAGAAATAAATTTTTCTTTGCCTCAAATAAATTTTTTATTTCAATGAAATAAAATATATTTGCAACAAATAAATGAGTTAATAGGCTAGGAGACAAATATACCATTTCTCTGAGTGTGAATTAAATAAATTGTCTTTGTACTAATAATTTCTATATTCGAAACAAATATACACCCAGGGAAAAGATTTCTTTGATTTAAAGAAACCAATTTCTTTGATTTGTTTTCTTTCATTAAAAATAAAATTTTTCTTTAAATGAAGGAAATTTGTGAATTAAATTAAAGAAATTCTAACATTGATATAGAGTCAAAGAAACATTTATTTGAATTAAATAAAAAATTTCTTTGAAATGAAGATAATTTTTTTTTTTTTTTGAATCAAAGATAATTTGTTTAAAACAACCAAATGGTATTTGTTTCAAGAAAAAAACCGATCAAAATACGATTTATAATTCAATTATTTCAAAAATTATTTGATACAAGTAAATATTTATTTGATAATAGTCAAATAACGAATTATTTGAATTAAATAATTTTTTCTTCAGTGCAAACCAAACTTTTTGGTTAAATCAATGAAAAGTTTATTTGACTCAATTAAATTTATTTCTTCGTTCAAAAATTTCATTAAAATAAACCAAACGTTCATTTAGAATAAAAACAAATATTTATTTGAATGAAATAAAAATTTTTTTTTGTTTCCAATAACCAAAAAATTGTGTTAATACAAAAAAATAGTATATTTGATTTAAACAAAACTTTTCTTTGAGTTTAAAAGAAAAAAAAAGTTAACAATGCAAAAAAAAAAATTATTTTATTCAATTAATCGGTTACTTGAGTATTATCAAATAAATATTTACTTGAACCAAATAAATATTTACTTGAACCAAAAAAATATTTACTTGAACCAAATAAATATTTACTTGAACCAAATAATTTTTACTTGAACCAAATAAATATTTACTTGAACCAAATAAATATTTGCTTGAACCAAATAAATATTTACTTAAACCAAATAATTTTTACTAGAACCAAATAAATATTTACTTGAACCAAATAAATATTTGCTTGAACCAAATAAATATTTACTTAAACCAAATAATTTTTACTCGAACCAAATAAATATTTACTTAAACCAAATAAATATTTACTTGAACCAAATAATTTTTACTTGAACCAAATAAATATTTACTTGAACCAAATAATTTTTACTCGAACCAAATAAATATTTACTTAAACCAAATAATTTTTACTTGAATCAAATAATTTCCGAAACAATAAAATTATATTTGTTTTTACATCATGAATGTAAATTCCAAATATTATTCAGGTTTCATATATATATATATATATAGGAATCAAACACATTTCTTTAGGTCAATTTTTACATTTTTCAATTTCTCTCTATAAAATTTATATTACAATAAATATAAAAGACGTTTTTAAAATGGAAAAAAGTGTTTGGAAATAATATAAACGATTCTTGAATATATATATGTATATAATATATCTAACATCAAAAGGGGAAGTTTAATCGAAACTTTTGCGCAAAGTATTGAAGAAGATACATATATATTTTGAAAATACACACTTTGGAAAATTCCCATCAGTCCTTTGTATAAGCAGAAAATCAATTCTGTAACTTCTCACTTGAAGATGATTTATAAATTTATATTCATGACTCAGTCTTTTTTTCTTTCTTTTTCTTTTTTTTCGATAAAAGTCGAACATATTTACCGAAAGGAAAAATTATATTTCATTCTATGATCTATATTTGAAGAATAATAATTAATCATAATTTCAACAATGGGTATATACAATGATCTTTTTTTAATATATACGTGTAGATTAAAATATAATTAAAAATGTAAGATAAAATTACGTAAATTAAAAATGTCACTCTTAATTAATTCTTCATTTAATGGAATTTACCATTAGAATGATATGTATAATCAATATTTTTCATTAATATTTAATTTTTAATAACAGGAATATTATATATGAGTGAGAAGGTAATAAATATCATTTGTCAATTGTTTCATAATAACTAATATCAATTAAAATTATTCTATTAATTTTTAATTAAGTAAAGTTTCGAATTGATATGTTTCATTGCAGTTTTGATAAAGTATATTTTTCCAAGGGATTACGAAATTTACTTTTCGTGACGAATTGATTCGAAATTTCAAATCCAAATAAAAAACTAATTCGGAAATAAATTTCGAAATGTCTCCAAAATAATATTTAACAAAAATTGATTGAACATCAGTTACGAAATTTTCCTCAGGGAAGCTAATAAAATATTTGAAAATAATTGCAATTAGAATCTCAATTATTGTAATAATTATTTTTCATAATGTTTGAGAAATATTTTTAAAAAATTTTTCTCAAATCTCAAGCCTATGATTTTGAATGTTAATAAAATTTATTAAAATTCACAAGTCAATTTTTAACTAAAGGCCCTTTTATTTAAATAAAATATCTGCTCTGAATTCTTTCTGTCAACATCTTTTCCAAAGGTATCAATGTAATATATATATATATATATTCATCTATGATACTAAATATAGATTTCTCAGGTTTTACCGTTCTAACGGATCGCGGTAAAAGGAGCACTGACCTACATATTGTTGCTTGCACAAATTCTGCAACTCATATTAGAATTTTTTTTATCATTTCTTTTTATATTCACTATTTTATTGCACCTATATGCTAAGCGTTAAAAGTTTTATAACTCCTCGCTAACTCGAATTCTATAAAGAAATTGTCTTTCGAAACTTTGAAGAAAAAAATTTACTCCCAGAAAAATTATATATTTGAATTTTTGTTTTTCCATTTTTTTTTTTTGTACAAATAAAAAAAAAAAAAAAAAAAAAAAAAAAAAAACGAAATAACACACAATAAAAAGTGAAAACAATAAGTGGAAATAAATTGCAACTTAATTTTTTTATTGTCGTGTGTTAAATTTAAGATTTACTTTTGCGACCAAACTGGGTCAGTTCTGTGAATTTTTTTTTTTTTTTTTATAGTTCTTTTATGACTTATCCATAACTCTCACCTTTTTTTTTATTGGAAATCTTTCAAATGATATATAAAATATCTATATTTGTATATATTTATTTTTAATATTCTGTTTTTTTTAAATAATAAATAATAAAAAATGTCCAAGGGGAAAAAAAATTTTCGAGAAATATTTTTTTGAACCAATAAACAGAGATAATTTTTTTTTTTTTTTTGTTCATATTATGAAAAAAACGGTCAAAAGAATTCATCATTCCGAATGATTTGTGAATAAAATCGAAACAAGATAAAAATGTTCATATTATATATCAGTGAAACGATGAAGAACATAATTTAGTGAGAAAAATGTATCCAAAATCATCCGATTGGAACATTTATGATTTATATCTTTCAAATAATAATAATAATAATAAAATTAATAATAATAATTTTTTTATTAATAATTACTACCTATTTATTTCAATTTATTTTATTTATTATTATTTTTATTATTATTATTATTTATTTTATTAACATTTTTTATTTTTTTATATTTTTTATTCATTTATTAATATTTTTTTTTATCTTTAATTAAATTAATTATTATCATTTTTAATATTGAGAATAATTTTCACAGTTTTAAAGAGAGAAAAAATTTTTGTACAATTTTTTTTTTTAATATAATAAAACGGAATTAAATTTTTTTTATTATGTTTGATTTATTTTTTTTTACAGTACATGACGGAGAAAATGGGTGGCGCTGAGGGAACAAAACTTGACGTCGACTTTGTAGACATGGAGAGGGTGAGTATATTTTCCTCCACTAAAAAAAAAAAAAAACCTCCATGGAAGAAAAGTGGTTTTTCCTTGATAATGAACTTGCGCCTCAAGTAGGCATTTACTTTTTTTTTTCTTTTTTTTGTTTTTTCTCATTACAATTACAATCTCAGAAAAAGGAGGCCGGACTAAATTAGACTGTAAAAAGGAAATTTTTTTTTCCAATTTATACCGCACGTTTATTCTTCTTTATATCAAATCTCAACAATTTTTTTTTTTTTATTTCTCATGGAAAAATTTTGCTCTACTTTTCGTTTTCATTTTCTATTTATTTATTTATTAAATTATATTTATTTATATTTATTAATTAATTAATTTATTTATTAAAATACAAATGGAAAGGAAAAAAAATTGATTTTATAATTCGATTCTATTTTTTTTGTCAAAAAGAAAACGGACGTGACAAACGAATTGGTTGAGGATCTACAAATGAAGACAAAAGAATTTCTTCAACCAAATCCAACAGCAAGAGCAAAAATGGCGGCTGTTAAGGGTATTGGAAAATTAAGCGGTCAAGCAAAGGCCTCAACTTATCCACAGCCAGAAGGTACTCTTGGTGATTGTATGTTGATGTACGGAAAGAAAATGGGTGAAGATAGTATTTTCGGTAAGTAGAAAAAAGAAAGAAAAAAAAAAAAAAAAAATGAAAAAAAATTTATTATAAATTATTTTGTATGATTTTTGCTCTCATTAGCTCAATCTTTGATCGAAATGGGAGAGGCTATGAAACAGATGGCCGATGTGAAATATTCCTTGGACGACAATATTCAGCAAAACTTTCTCGAGCCTCTGCACCATCTGCAGACTAAAGACCTCAAAGAAGTTATGGTGAGATTTATTAAAAAAGTTTTATATATTTCCGCGCTATTTTTCTTTAAACATTATCTGTGAATTTCAATTTTTTTTTTGTTTTCGTTAACAGCATCATCGAAAGAAACTTCAGGGACGAAGGCTTGATTTCGATTGCAAAAGAAGACGCCAAGCGAAAGGTATAAATTTGGTAAAGTCGATTCGATTTAATCGAAAATTGATTTTTTAAATTCAAAAAAACGTTTTTTTTTTACTTTTTTTTATTTTTAAAATTTTTCTATTTTGATTCAAAAAAAAATCTCTTCACTATTTTTTATTAAAAAAATTCTTAAAAAATCATTCAAGTTCAAGTAATTATTTTTTTTTCAGAGAAGAGTGTTTCTATAAATAAATTATAAGCTTTGGCATGTTTCGCATGGGAATTGATAAAACTATAGAAGGAATGTTTAGAATTTTTTTTTTTGATTTGCAAATATTTTTTTTTTTTTTCAATAATAAAAGCGCATGAATTTTTCTTTCCTGGATTGAAATTTCTTTTTGATAGATTCTTGATTTGATGCTTTACTTTTTTTTTATCTAAAGATAGATTGATGTGCTTTTTTCTTCTTTTGTTCGCTGCGGTTTGGTTGGAATATTAGCCGCAGGAAAGATGTCATCCAGTCCACACTTTGGAAGCCCCGCAAGGGCAAATCCTTCAAATTATGTTGGTACGTGGATAAATCACCACGTACTTAACTTTTTATTCATTAATTTCAATATTTTTCATTTACTTTTAATTTTCAGAGATTTTTGTTTTTTCTCATTAGAATTTCTCATTTATTAATTTTCTTCATTGTCCCTTTTGTTTTTTAATTATCTAAAAATTTATTTTATAATTTTTTTTTGGTTTTTTAAAAATAGAATTTCTTTTCATTAATTTTCGTTATTTTTAATTTTCCTTTTATTTTAAATTATCTTCTAAATATTTTATTTATTTTTGTTTTTCTATCTTCATATTCTGTTATAGAATATTAATTTTAATTAATAATTCATATTTTACTGTTTCTGTTTGTTTTCATCATTTTCATATATATATTTTATTTAAAAAAAAGAGCTTTAATAATTGCAAAATGCTTCTTTATTTTGTCAATTTTGTCACGTTTGAAATAATCCGACCTTAAAATTATGCAAAATTTTTGATATCGCAAAAAAATATCATAAACTTGAAACTCTATAAATTTTATATTATAATATATATATATGCTCTTGGCAATGAATTTATCATGAATCGGAGTGAGTATCAATCAAATATATATTCCTGCTGGTATTTCCATCAGTCTGCAAATAAATTTTGCATGAATGCTTATTGAAAATCCTTTTTTTTTCTTTTTTTAGAAAATTTTATAAAAATTTATTCCCGAGTATATTTTTTTAGAATTTATTTTATTTTGCTTGTGGCTTATTTCACTAACAACACTAACAAAAAAAACTTCCAATTTTTTTTTAAATTACTCTAATAATATAATATTTATATAATATTTAATAATACTTGAACAATAAAATATTGCTTTTCTTTTCTATTATAGAAATAAAAATTTTTTTAAAATTTTAATTGTCTCAAATTACGCGAAATTTTTTTCTTAAAAAAAAAAATTATTTTTGGGTTTCAGAATTCTGTTTTGAAAAAAAAAAAAATTAAAAAACGTGAGACAATTAGCTAATTAAATATTTTGAATTTGGAAAAAAAAGTTGTTTTGTTTTTACTGATGTGTTAAAAGTGCTTTTATATAAGAACGGCAATATTGTTTCATGAAAATTAAATCTCTTTGTAAGAATTTAATTTCTTTAATTAGCAAGATATGCGTTAAAATTAGAAACACTAATAATATAAATCAACAGCTTTCTCGTTCGTATATATAATAATGAATAAATTGCATATATAATTACTGAACTTCTACTTTTCATATATAACACTTTAAATTCACAAAATTCTTATCATTTATTCACTATATTTATAAGATTTTTTTTTGAATTTATAATTTTTATTTATTTATTTTAAATTTTTAATAAGTTGAAATTTAAATACAAAAAAAAAGGAAATTGACAAAAACATATACAAAACTACTCTAAAATTCTCACTGAGCTAGTTTCTTTTTATAAAATTAGATATAAGTTTATTTTCAGAGAATGCAACCCGTAGTGCATCCTTTTTAATTTTCCTATGACGCAACATTTGCGTACAGGTTCTCACGTTTCAGACGACGAAATTCGTATGGCCGAGGAGAAATTCGCCGAAAGTCTTCATTTGGCTCAAATGGGCATGTTCAATTTATTAGAAAATGATGTAAGTTTGTTTTTTCTTTTAATTTTCAATAAAAAATAAAATAAATTTTTTTTTTTTTGCGAAAAAAAATAGGACAAATTTAATACTTTATTTTTAAAAGAATTTAATACAGCTAAGATTTTTTTAATAAGTAAAAGTTGTTCCAAAAATATTGGTTATTAAAAAAAAAATATATTTTTGAAAATTTTATAAAAAAATTAATTTTACTTTTTATTTTGAAAGGTCGAACAAGTGGCACAATTAGCAACATTCAGTGAAGGCCTTCTTGAGTATCATCAACAGTGCGTCGAAGTTCTAAGGGTATTAACCGAAACTCTCTTGGAAAAGTACGTATCACATAAATTTTTATTTTTATTAAATGACAAAATATTTTTTAATAAGATTTTATGCAATAAATCGAATTTAATTATTTTCACCAAAAAGAAATTTTTTTGATAAAAATAAAAAAAAGAATTTTTTTTTTTGAAACTACAGAAAAGATGAGGCGGCGAATCGTCCGAAAATGAATTTCGTACCAAAAACGTTAGCCGACCTTCATGTGGACACCGTTTCTTCCGAAGGGATCAATGGTGGGAACTTCTTACTTCACGGTAAAACACACATTACAGACACAAATTTAAAAAAAAAAAAAATAATTATTTGAAAAAAAATCATTTTTTTGGGCTGACTGTCTAATCGTTTCTTTCATTTTTTCTATAATGCAACCTCTACGTGTGCTGCAAAGACTGGTTACTTTGCCTATATATATATTTATAAATATATTTACACAATCTCTTTTTATCCTAACAAGAAAAAAAATTTTTAAAATCTCTTTTTTTTCATAACTAATATTTTTACTAACATAAAAATTTCCAGGCCGAAAAAAAAAAATTATATTGAAATTTTTTTTCTTTTTTTTGTGAAATGGGAGGGTGGGTAAATTTTTCTAGTAAGTTCAAAAATTTTTTCTATGCAAAAAAAAATAAAACTCAAACACACGACACCTATTGAATATTAATTAAACGAGATTGATCAGTGTGTAATTGTTGGATACTTGAATGTCTCTCCTTCTGACCCTTCTTAGGGGCAAGTCGAGCCGGGTCTCCGGTCTCTGGAGAAGAAAATAAGCGCTCACAGCTCGAGCTTTTTCCAGCCGGAAACCCGCCGCAGTCTGCCAATGGTAAATTCTGCATGGGGTTTAATTGTTTCATTTTTAGCTGCGAACAAAAAAAAAAAATTATTTTCTATACTTTTATATAAATATTCCTTTTTATTTTTTTTTCTGCACACACTTTATTAGAAACACATTAAAATTTATTCCTTAAAACATTTATTAGCTGGAATTTTCAATATATTGTTTCCGAAATTCTTAAAACATTTTCATTTTTTGCCGAGTCAAATGGAAAAGAAAAATATTTTATTAAATAAAAAAAAATTGGTTGAATAAATAAAAAATATTTTATTAAATGAAAAAAATTAAAGAAGAAATTAAATAAAAACTTTGGTTTAATAAAAAATTCGGCTAAATATGAATTTGAGATTTTGTAATTTTTCAAACAATTGAAATTTTCGACTAATGCGTTTTTGGAGAATTTTCGTGTGCGTCTCTTTCAGTTACTTTTCCATAGATATAATTTTCTAAATAGTCAACTTTCCACTATCGCAAAAAAAAAAAGAAAACTTGAAAGCACTATTTTTCAAAATATGCTAATTCTTTATTTGTCCCCTTTTCTTTGATTGTTTCTTCGCCTTCCCTGACTCTCTTTGCTTAATATGCATATATTAGTTGTAATTAATTAAATTAACATTTATTTTTAGGTAAAATAAAATTTTTCACCCTTTAGTAATTAAATTTTTCAAGAATCGTTTTTTTTTGTATTAACTTCGAAATAGAGCGAAATTTTTGTTTTTGCTTTCAATCAAATAAAAAAGTTAAGGAAAAAAAAAATAATTTTCTTTTTTTTTACTTCAAGGGATTCGATGTAAAATTCTGTTTTTTTTAGATTGAAATGAAAAAAAAAAATTGACAATTTAGTTTAAATATCATGTAAATCGAATTTATTTTCATAAATTAATTTCTAGAAATTTTAAAAATAAATTAAAGTAACATATTATAATTATTAAAAATTGTTATTGAAATATGTTATTAAGAAAATAATTAAAAAATATTGGAACGTTCTTGAAACTTATATGAAGTGTACGCATTTCGATATTATCGTTAAAAATAAATTATTATTTTTATTATATTTTTAAATATATTATTATTATTATTTTTAGTATTATTATTATTATTATTATTATTATTATTTTTATTATTATTAAATTATTAAATATATTTTCTTAATTCGAAAAAAGGAAAGTGTCATTAAAATTATAATTTAATGAATTTATGATCTTTACAGCTTCACCCTTGCCATCGCCAAGTAAATCTCCAGCTAGGACACCAATGGCCAAACAGCCTTGTTGCACGGCACTTTATGATTTTGAGCCGGAAAATCCTGGAGAACTTGGTTTCAAGGTAAAATATATTTATTGGTTATTGATTAATTATTATTATTATTATTGAATCGAAAATGAAAATTAGAACAAAAGACTAAAAATAAAAGTCTAAATTTTACTATAAATGAAAATAATTTTCACAGAGAAGCTTTCACAAAACTTTTGACCAAGTAATCCCAAGAGTTCGTTATATATATTATAAAGTTTGTTTTAAAACTGAATAAACTTTTCTTACATTACACTTTCAAAAATTATATTTTGCGGCTTGAGAATAATTTTTTTCACATACAATAAATTAAAAAAAAAAAAATTCAATTTGTTAAAAAGTTAATTAAACGATTTTCTATTAAAAAAAATAATAATAATAACTAGAACTTCTTTATTTATTATTAAGATAATAATAATTATTATTATTAGTATTATAATAATTTATAATAAAAATAATAAAAATTTCTAAAAATGATACTAAAATTATAATTTTTGTAATTTTCAATTCAAAATTTTTGCTTCTAAAAATTATAGTCTCATTTTTTTTTACAATTGAAAACCTCTTGAAATATTTTCAATTAGAATCAGGAAAAAAATTTAAATTCTAACTGATAATCAGGGAAAAAGAAAATAAAATTTTTTCTGTCAATTCTGTGGCAATAAAAAATAATAAAATAATATGAAATTTTCACTTTTTTTTCTTTTTTCAAATCTGAGTGTTCTAAATTCTTATAAAAAATAATTTTTATGCTAAAAACATTTTTTGTTTTTTTTTTGTTTTAGGAAAACGACAGTATTACATTGATCCAAAAAATCGATGACAATTGGTTTGAAGGCACTGTGAATGGTCGCACGGGTTATTTTCCTGTATCTTATGTACAGGTTGTGGTGCCTTTACCATAAAAGAGCACTGGCTATTAAGAAGCCAAAGAGTCTGCGTTCGTTCATTCGCGTCTATCACAAAAAAAGAAAAGAGAAAAAAAAACAAAAAAAAAAACAAACTTATACCTATATACAAAGCTCCTAATCTAGACCTTATATACACTTGACTTATGTTATATATAATATATATATATACACATATATATATATTTATCTTTTAAAAAAAAAAGAAGAAAAAAAAAGCTTCCTACGTTACGATCCCGAGTTAAAAAAAAATATTCCACGAATAACCTCTATACGCATGTTAATGTACATAAATATGTAATAACGTTATAATCTTTTATAGACGTAAGATTAAAAATTATTCACGCGCAGGCACATTGACACATTTACAACAAAAAAAAAAAAAGGGGTTTTTCAATAAATTTTTGCCCCTGTCTCACGTAAATTATTATATCGTTGATACGGTATAATAAAATTCGTTAGTGAATTTTTTCTTTTTTTTTCTTTTTGTTCTGAGTGACTCATCTCTGACCATTAATAGACGATTTAAAATCGTTCGAAAAAAAATAGAAAAAAAAAAAAATCAGTGATTTATTTATTTTGAACGATTTTGAATCGTCTTATTGTAGTTGTTTTTGCATTGCACAAAAAAAAATCTCCGTAGACGTAAGACCCCCTAAAACTGACTGGACGAAGATTTTATTCGATATAACTCAAAATGTAAGATCGCACTAAAATGTTTGTACATATTTAGTTCGATTTTCAAATTTCTTCGTCTAATTTCCCTTTTTTTTTTTCTTTTCTTTTTTTATTTTAATTTTCCTATTCACGCACATTGTTACAGCATCATTCGTCATTGTTATAAAAAAAAAATAATACTGTTATGAATTGTTGCGTTACTTTGTCAATAATTGTATTATAGTAATTTGTTCATTCCTTCATGAAACTTTCCACTTTAGATTGTAATTTTTTTTTTTTTTAATTTTTTTTACAATAATTTCAAAGACATTAGAAGGAATTAGATTTAATTTTTAAGAAATCGAATGGCGGCGAATCTCTTCCACGATATAAGTCAGCAAAATTATTGCTGGCATTATAGACGGAAAAAAAAATTGTACAGAATGGCCTAAAATTTAAATTATTATTAATTTTTTCCATTTTGGAAAATTATGATTTTACCGATAAATATTTGTCAAATTTTATTCAAAATGTATCGTTGAGTAATTTTAAAAAGAAATTTTTTTGTAAATAATATCATTGTATTAAAAAAATTATTTACAAAAACGAACAAAAAAAAATGGCCGAGATTTTATCGCCTTTGGTCGAAAATAATGTTTCGACAATTTCTTTACATTAAAGAAGAAAAAAAAAACAGCAGCAAAGTGCCGAATTAGTTTTCTTGTCCTTTTTGACTTTGTACAAGAGTTGAACCGCCAGAAAAAAAATGAAAGTAATTAAGGAACTTGATCATTCGTTGCCACGATGTATAGGCACACCTAGTGCTGAGATTAACGTAATTTACTTAGGGTAAATGTATCTATAGCAAAGATTAAAAAAAAAATCGCGTATCGTCAAATTTAGAAAAAAAAAAAAAACGATGACGGCGACGATGACGACGAAACTGATTTACATTAGCGTTATCATTATTATTACACTTTAAAAAAAAAAAAAAATTTCGAAGTAAGAAAAAAAATAAAAATATTTCTTGCTTTGATTATTTACGAATATTATAATTATTATACGAACAGATCTGCGTTACAACTGCCGGTGTGATATAATAAAAAAAAAATTAAAAAAAAAAAAATAATTAAATAAAAATGAATTAAAAAGTCGTCATGGCGGGGTCTTACGAGAATCCGAACGCATATTTGTCCACCGCGAACTCTTTTCAAATTCGATTACGTCATCAGTGTCTTGATTACGATGGTATTTTAAAAAAAAGGTAACCGTGGAGGGCAGTCGGATTTGAATTTTGGAACAGTGTTTCTCAAGCTAAACGCGATATTTACCCTCGACACGGAAGCCAATTATATATATTATATATATATATTCATAGACGGTCTAATTAAAAAAAAAGTTCTCATTTTAGCGAGAGATAAAATCAATTTTTTTTTTTTTTTTTTGGAATTTTCCGTTTTTTTAATTTATTTTAATAATTTATTTTAATAATTTCGATTAAATTTCTTCAAAATCCAAATTTCTTTCAAAAATTTTATTTGATTCGAATAATCGGTTACTTGACTTTAAATAAATATTTACTTGAGCCAAATAATTTTTGAAACCAAATAATTGAATTTTATTTGAATCAAAATTTTCTGTATTTGAAACAAATACAATTTAATTGACTCAAATAATAATTATTTAATAAAAATAAATATTTACTTGAACCAAATAATTTTTCAAACCAAATAATTTTTGAAAAAAATAATTGAATTAAATAAACTGTATTTGGTACAAATAAATATTTACTTGTACCAAATAATTTTTGAAACCAAATAATTGAATTAAATAAATTTTATTTGAAACAAATATCATCTCAAATAATAATTTATTTGATACAAATAAATATTTATTTGGTAATCGTCAACCGATTATTTGAATCAAATAAATTTTTTTTTTCAGTGTAAAAATTTCAAATTCCATTTCAATGTTGAAAATTCAGTTTTTTTTTTTAATTTTTACATCGGATTGAGTTAAAAAATTCGAAATTTCTCATTTTCCATCATTGCAAAGGAATTCTGAAATTTCTAACACAAAAAATAATGGAAGATTTGAAAAAAAGCATAATTTTCAGAATTTATTGACGATTGCGAAATAATTATTTGAATAAATTAAAAAATAAAGAAAAATTAATTTAATTTAATTTAAAATAAATTTAAAAAATTGAAATAATTTAAAAAAATTAAAATTAATTTAAAAAAATTTAAATAGGTACAAAATTTAAGAAATTAAAATAAAAAAAATATCTCCCGCTAAAAAATGGACGAGAATTATAATTCCCTAGGTCTATATAATTAGCTCTGGGCGTGTAAGATTGTTGAATTCAGAAAATGAAAGCCATATATAGAATATTATATTTTGACTTTCCTAGAGTCAAAGAAAAAAAAATTTATTCAGGTTCAGCTCAATAACTCTGTTAATGTGAGAATTGTAATTAAATATAATTATATATATATATCGCTGCATCGTTTCGTTATATATGAATTCACCGCTGGTTCGGTAAATTCATCAATCTGTTTTATCTGAATCTGTCCTTTGAAAAATAAGAAAGAATAAAAAAAAAAATAAAATAATAAAAATAATACAAATCTTTAATATTCAGCATTGCTGGAGGAATTACGTCAATTAAAACAAATAAGTAGGAGATTATCTCCGAATATTCAGTCGATTATTAATTCTTCATGTTATACGATATAAAAAATAAAATCGCATCGTGAATTGTATTATACGTGGACAAAGCGATAGTGAGTCAAAAATTGTTATTGCTTTCATTTATCATTTTAGAAAAAAAAAAAAACCAACTAATTGTGAAAGTGTATTTAAAGTTTTCTACTTTTTGAATTTTTGGAAAATATTAATAGTTGACTAGTTTTTAGGAAAAGTTTCATTTTTTGAATAATTCGTCAAAAAGACGAAATTTTCTTTATGATGAATTTTATTTGTTGATTTGGTAAAATGTTTGGCTCAGTAGCGCTCAAGTTTCCCGTTAACTTCTTTTATATAATATAATTATACGCTTTGAGAAACACTGCTAGGAAAGTTTAAAAAAAAAAAAAAACAAAATGTGAGTGAAAAAAAGAAAGTCGAGGGGAAAAAAAAATTTTGCGAATCACTTAAAAACTGAGAATTATTATAAAAAATACTAAATCGGTATCTTAATCTATAAATGTTGGCTATTGTTAAATGTTAAATATTGTTCGGCAGGGCGCTGTTGCTATTCGACAAGAAGTTCGTGGAGGCCTTGAAAAAAAAAACAAAACAAAAAAAAAAATCGGTGCAATCTTGGAAAGCCGATAAAAAAAAGAATAGTTCTATTATTTTAGATCAAATTTTTGTAAGTTTAAAAATTTAAGTTAGAATTAAGACATTGAAGAAAACAAAAAAAACTGAATTTTCGATTTTTTGTCTGCTTCAGTGTCAAAAAAAATAACACTAATAGCATTTGAAAAAATGATATTGGTGATATTAAAGGAGAATAATATCTGTTTACTCAAAAATAGTATTTTGTGATTTTTTTTCAATTTTTAATATTACACTCACAGAAATGTTTTATTTGAACCAAATAAAATATATTTGAGTTAAATAAATGTATATTTGTCTCAGAGCCAATTTATTCGGCGTAAATAAAATTTTTTTATTTAAATCAAATAAAAATTTATTTGAATCAAATAAATATTTATTAGGCTCTGAGACAAATATACAATTTTTCTGGGTGTAAGAAAACGATTCTTTGCATAATAGCATAAAACAAAATTCGAACAATTTTTGGAATTAAAAAATTCTCCAGTAAGTAATAATTGATAATTTTGTTCTATAAATGAGAAATAATTACAAAAATTTCAGAATCTGTGAAATTCAGTAAAAAAAAAAAAATGTAAATACATTTTTTTTTGAGTTTACAGAAAATATACTCCTTATAAAAGAAAAAGTCGTGATAGACAATTATGTCATTCTTTTTTTTTTTTACAATTTAGTCTTGCGCCATTGTATTGTTTATTAGTATTAAAAAAATTAAGTATAATATATAGTTTTTGTTATTGCTATAGAACTATAGAATTCATTTTCATTTGTGCTATATATATATATAAATATTTATTAGCAAGTAAGAAAAAAAAAAAACGAATTGATTGTAAAAGGACGAAAAAAAAATTGTCTCGGCTATCAGGATTGTATCATCATATCTAGACAGATAAACATAAATAGTTAACTATACTCATCCGAAAATGAAAAAAAAAAAAATGAAAAATACAAAAAAATAGTCAAGATTCAAATAGAAAATGTAGAAATGTGATTTGTTGATCGAAAAAAAAAAAATGTGATCAATTATAAATAGAGCATGAATTTCTTGCGAATTCCAGGCCCTCTGCATTCCTACTTGTATTCTAATAATTCGGGG